TGCTTTCTAGCAGTAAGTCGCACGTCGCATGCTACTTTGGTGTGAATGCTCACTGAAATTTCTCTAGTTCCAGTTTCCATTAATTTCGGGATTTTTCTTTGATCTTTTTTTGAATCTACATAGTTCCAGAAAGCTCGAACGTTTCTTTTTTTTAATATTCTGTTCCAGTTTATTTATGTTATTCCTGTAACAACTAATAACTTTCAGACAAACTTTCACAAACAAATAATTCGCATTTCGTTAAGTTTCTGATAATTAGTTAAAGTAGGCTTAGAATTGTACAGTTTGTGACTTGTTTCTTTTCTATCGTAGAGTTTTCAAACTCTTAATCAAACCAAATAGGGAATCTGAAATCAGATTTAACTTAATATTTTGGAACAATTTCATCATAACCAATATCATAGAACCTAACTATAGCTATAGTATACATCACAATCCAATATAAGATCCCAATCAATATTCAACAAAATATGATTAAGATTGCTAAAATAACAGTTTTTAAAGTCATATCAAAACTCCACATTATCATGCTGCATAAAAATTGGACTATTGACATCATCAAAAAGTAAGGCAGGATGATGATCATTACAACTCACTCACTAAGGTGTCTTGAGCAATCTCGATTAGTAAATCACACTTATTCTTTACTTCAACAAGATCAGAAAAGCATAATGCAGCAGTCAAGCATTCGGTGGAAGGGCTATGTATAAGTGGATTATATGTATATGTATCACTTTCGATATTAGTCAAATTAGGCAAATTGTAGTCACCAAGAATAAAAACAGAATTGCATTCGTATAAATTAGAAAAATGTTCAATGCTATTTGCATGATTTTCATACTCTGACAATTTAGATTGAGAGGAGAAATATAAAACACAGAAAATAATAAAGAATTGTTAATCAGAATCAGATCAGAATCTCCTCTAGATCCAAACATAGAAATACGAGGCAGCATTGAAAAAGCCAGGGCAACATTTATGATTATGAAAGCAACATTAATCTTAACTTTACATTACGGTACCGTTTTGTAAAATGCTACATGCATTCCGTGCTACTGTGCGGTGCGGAGTGGAGACATGGATATAATAAAGGCCAGTGTCATGAACCGACTGGAATCCTTTGAGACGTAGGTATTCAGAAGAATGCTAAAAATTCCATGGAGGGAACGAAGAAGTTCTGAAGTGAATGGGAAGAGAGAGAAAGTTATGTTACAGGTAGTGAAAAGAACAAGAAGGGTCATATCTCCAGAAATTCCTAAAGCTGATGATGGAACCAAAGATCGAGGGAAGCAGAGGCATCGGAAAAAAAAAATCGTGACTGAAAAATATAAGAGACTGGACAAACCTCGACGCCCATGCACTTTGCAAGATCGAAACGAATATGCCAACATTCGTTAATGGGTAAAGCACCTTCACAAGAAGATATTTACTCATGACAATAGGAAGGAACAAAATATTAGAATCATTTCAAAATTCAAGCAGGATGAGGACCTCTTCTATTTATCAAGAAAAATAATTTGCGAATATGAGTCAGTCCCAAACAAGAAAAATCTGGAGGCAAGGTCTTAGATATCTTCCCTTTCTAGTAGTTTTTCGTATTTTTTAATACCCAGGACAGAATGTAGGTACACTGAACTGAAGGAATTCACAGAAAAGGGAGGAATGTTTTCCAAATAGACTATACCTCAAATCGGACTACAACTTTCTTTTAGATACCTAGTTAAAGTACATTTTACAAATCCAATGACGTATCTGTTAGAAGACTTGCAAGATCAGCTCATAAGTGGAGGTTTTTATGAAGAAGAATTAAAGAAAACAAATCAACAAAATGTTTGGAAATGGTTGGGATTTGATTAGACGCACAATAGTTGGATTGAAAAAACCAGGGATGTAGCTTGAAGTAACTGTTTCTATAATTGTTACAGGAAATATCCGATATCAGGCCATTCTAGTTTGGCCTAGGCTTTACATTTGTTAGGAACTTAGTATATTTCATTTCCTAGGACGTGAAGTGCGACCAGCGAAAATTTGCTGGCGGCAAATATGCGAACTAATATTTCTATCTCGCTCTATTCCATTGCATCTGTGTATTTCCATATCGTTTTTGCCTCCCCCTTCACCTCAGACCAAAACGCACTTTTCACAGTTGCCAACCTTAACTAGTATTGCAGGACAAACTAGAATGTCCTAATTAGTGTTAGGAAATATCCGATTCAAATTGTCTCGTTGTAAGAAACACAGATATTACACAGAGATTTTCCAATATCCACTTGGCCGCAATAGTTTATCCATAAACCTACCTATACAAAACAGTTGATTTCAATGTTTCTGGTCTTCTCTAATCTAATCAGGCCATTCTAGTTTATCCTGGAAACTATCAGGCAATACTAGTATGTTCTAGGAAATATGCAAAGTTCCTAACAACGATAGGAACTTTTAGTATGTCCTGAATAGCCTGAAATCGGTTATTTCCTGTAACATAATCATATACCTAGTCATTTAGATCCATGAAGTTGTACTGCAAAAATCGCTGTATGCTTTTTTGGCGAGTCCAATACAAATTTTCAGGGATTTATAGGGTCGGGATAAATGCTGTCGGGACAATAACGTTTTGGGTCAAATAAGGGGAGTTTGACTTTGGTGACGTTGTGTCGAGATTTCTACCACTTTAAGGAAGAAAACCTGATACTCATTGGCTCCAGTAGTAGCTGAGGAGTGACCAGAAGGAATCATTGGATCATGTAATCTTGGATATATTTTATTAATCTCCAGTGATAGGTAAAAAGCTTATATCGTACATACGTTTGTAATGTCTGTTCCTTTACATTTTTAAGTCTTGTTGGGTGACTGGGGGAGTTTGTGAATGCAGCATAGCAACGTTTTTGGGTTTACACGTTCAGTTTTTGAACAGAAACCGACCTCATTAACTGGGCCAAGAATATTGAAGAGCGAAATTCTTCATGGAATCAAGAAACTATAAATCTCCAGGAGGGCCAGACTACAGTCATGTTCTTGATGATTTTTATTTGATAAGTGAACAGGATATCAATGGAATGTATTGGTGAAGTTTTTCAATGATACGACTTCCAAAAGACTGGCTTCGCTCATCATTTAAAGCCTTGCCAACGACAAACTGGTGCAGAAAGTTGTATCGAAACGTCATATGGAGTCATTTTTTGAAGCTTTTCCTACGTATTTGGCATACAAGAGAACAAGGACAAGAACAAACGTCCAAACAAGCTGAAAACTGCCTCTTACTCACAATATTTCTGGATGAAAACCTATCTATTTCATTGAACATTGAAAATGGAAACAGGAAGTTCTGGAACATTGGACAGAATCTTGGGAGTTGCTAGCAAATTAAGAAAACCAAAGGAAGTTCATGCTGAGATGTGATGAAGTTTTGAGAAGGATGGGGATTGGATCAAAACGTTAGCATTTGATTGAGATTTTTATAAATAATTGAGGATATCGTTCGAATGGCAGAACTAGAAGAACGAGTAATATTCGTATATATCAAACAAATAAGAAATTCCTAGCTCGGACAAATTGTACATGGAGGACGATCCAACTCCCTATTTTATAGGCAAAATTGAAGGTGGAAATCGAAGACTATGAAGGAAGTGACTATCCTAGCTTCATAATATCCATGATTTCCAATCACTCCAGGATCATGCATTGCATGTTCTCAGATCTTAGACCTGAAATGTTGTAATTTTTCAAAATTTCTTTTAAAGTTATAGTTCTAATCGACATTTACACAAATGAGAAGTTAGAAAAAAACACATTTTTTTTTGTCGAAATTTTTAATGAACATAGTTCCACTTGCCATCCATACAAATAGGAAAAAATACAATATATTTGATGTCTGCTGAATTTTCAAATGAGCATATAGTTCCACTAGTCCTCCATACTAAGTAGTTATCAAGAAATAAGAAAAACTTTTTCAATAGAAATGGGCAAATCCACATTAACAATATAAAGTTATCAAGAATATGTTTCTTTTTAGGATTTCCTTATGGGCACAGGTCCAAACAAAATCAACCACCGTGAAATATAGTTGCCTTGAGTTAAATCACAACAACATAAATTAAAAATAACTACCGAAATGATTAATTGGACGATCACATTACGCACTGGTTTTAATGATACATAGTTACTACAACTTACACACTAAATGGAATGTTTTGATAAATGTGAATTTTAATAATTGAAATTGTATTATACAGAGTGTTCCTGAATATCATGTACAAACGGAATAAGGGGGTGATTCTTTGGTTTATTTTATGACTAAAATTTCTAATAAACAGGGTGTTGAAATTTCAATGTATCCATATTGGAAATTAGCAAGGATATAGCGGCGAGGGTGTGGCTCACTTCTAGATTCCTATTGAAAATAAGCAAGAATATGGCGGCGGTACCTCTATTGTCGCCAGTGTAAGTAGAAAAGGTTTATCGAGAGGTTTATTGAGTAGGTAACTCTAGTTTCATCTAGCTAATTACAAAGATTTGTTTTTTAATTTTTTTCTCGATAAGGGTCGGCGATTCAAAAAAACTACAAGAGAACAAAAAGTTTCTAAATAGGGTAGAAACATTATTTTGTTTATTAGAATCTACCAGCGGCGCACCGCAAAAAAGTTCAGGGACATAAAAGGGGGCATGACCCCTGAAAAAATATCACCTTGTAGATTCTGGTAAATGTTTAACATGTGCAATCATTTGGCTCCTATTGCGTAACTTGTATTCCAAATTTGAGCTACATCCTCCAAAAATTGCAGGAGCTATAAAAAAAAAACTTAAAAATTATTAAAATTTCAACACCCTGTAGATTGGTAATGAAGCGTTTGTAGACCTACTTATATTTATTAGAAATTTACCGTTTGTACATGTAAATTGTGATAGTTCCACTTTGTAGTGTCCAAATTTATCGACTAATTTCCTTGAAAAATCAGCCTAATTTTCAATTTATAAAATAATACAAGATATCAAATTCAACTCACAGTTATAGCAAAATTGACCACACGACACTGAGCTTTATATAAATTATACTCCACCTTACGCAACTCGGAAAACTAACTGGTACTAAGCCGCGTCTCTGAATATCACAAATTACTAAGCTCTAAAATTACCTTTATAATTGCACCACTTAACTGGACCTGGCGAACAATTGATTGTCGGACGGGCCAAAAAGTTTATTTGGAGAACAAAAGGTGCCCGCCCCTCTACTATCCCACCCTGGATCAGCTCAACAGTTTTGCCAAGAGAACTGGATAATATACTTTCAAACTGTGGATCATAATTTTCCAAAAAAAATATAAATATTTAGTATCATTAATATTACAAAATTGATCTTAAATCATGCTAAATGGGGCTGCTACAATTAATATTTATGAAACGGTTTTGTGATAAATCAAAAATTTTGCGTTAATTGGTTTTGGTTGTTTGCCACAAGTGCGGCAAGTACAAATTGTTTTTGCAATAATTTCTAATTTTGAATTATGAGGGTAAATTTTCCAAAGTAGTAAAATTGTATCGAATCATTTTATTTGTAAGATGTTTTTATGGATGAATAATTATTGGTTGGACGCAGTACCTTAGTACCGTAAAATCGGATGACTTGAGAAGATTTTGACGTACAGCAAGGGATATTTTCGAAACTATTTAACTTAGCGATGACTTAAACACGTCAAAAGTTGAGTCTTAACCCGTAGAATCGGTTTTATAAGTTGAGTTTTATGTGAATAACGAATTATCCAGAGTTTTTTTTTTTTTTTTTGACTTTCTCATGTCATCTTTTTTGTAATTTTTTTCTTCAGCTGAATCAAGAGCTTTGGTTACCATTGCTGCAAGCTGCAAGAATATTGGAAACAAAGTCCTTAGTAGACGTAGAATCGCTAGATTCTGTATTCAGCTGTGTAGTATTATTTTGCTCATCCAGGACGTAAAATAATGTCTTGTGAGATGTGTATTTTTTTGATGCTTTCACTATCACCTTCTCTCAGTTTTTTGGGAGGTGTAAGTTTATCGTCTCTAACACTAACATTGTAGGAGGAGTCAGATAAATCATCTGGAAAATATTCTGGGTCGCTATCGCTTTCAAATTTGGCGATACGATTAGATACCTTGGTGTTAGATATTTTATGTTGTAGCTGTTTATTTAAGGCAAACGTCAGCATAAATTTCGATCTAGTTTTACCACTACCACTAGTACCTGCCATTGCCATCTGTAAGTAAAAAATCCGTAAACTTTTTGCTCAGAACTGATAAAGACGGACAGAACAACTAAACGACAAAAAATATAAACAATATTTTTGGGGCTTTACTGCAGGCTGTTATAAAATTGCTCCGAATATTAAAAGAGGCTAGTTCAAGTAATTCTTACCTTTAACAAAACTTTTCAAATGTTCATACGTTAAATATCAATAAAAACTCGAAAATTTGATCAAAGAAACAAGCTTCACACAATAAACAATTAACAATAGTTTTTTTCGCTCGTCGTAATAGTTTTTAAGTTAGAGTAATACAATTTGGCGGGATTTTTGTCCACTGTAATCCTATACTCGATTTTCCTAACTGTATCAGATAGGACAAATTATTTTAGCATGATGTATCTTTTGATAGTGGTCCACTGTCAAACCAATCTTTTTCTTTGTTAAAGTTCAAGATGACCACCCCTCCACAATTTAACCAGGACCCAGCCAAACAAGCATTCCTGCATGGAATACAGAAGATATTGTCTGCTAAACCGAAGGCTATTGAGATACTCAGAATAATGCGAATGTACAACTCAAAATTGATAGAGAGGTCATCAAGATGTTTAAAGGATCCCAACCCGCTAGCATCTACTATGTCAGTGATGAGTACAAAGTATCCTTTGTCAGTCGACAAAAGTAGGTTTAAGAAGTACCAGATGCCCTTAAACTTCATACCCCCAAAGAAGACAGATCCAGGGAACAAGCATTACCATGGAAGAGTCTTGTGCAAAAAAGACGCTATCGAGTGGCGCATCACCAAGTCACCAGTTCCTGAAGAATCCAGCCTTGCAGTCACTAACATTCTGATGAAACAAGCTAGAAAAGATGTGGAACTGTACAAGTCTTTCAACTGGAGTAGAGTCCGTATAGAATGGGGTGAGATGATATTAGAAAGAAGGAGAGCCCGAAATCCACATTCCAAATGATCTCAGAGAGCAGGCGATATCTGAAGTTCTTTTTCCTGACTATACCATCAGAGACAGGTCAATCCCTGTGAATGCTATAAAGGAGTTGAAAGATCTAACAGTTCTCACATTGGACAACAAATTGAACTCAGTCCGTCAAATCAGAGTTCTCCTGAACCTAATGGATCCAAGGGAAAGATGTCTCCCAATTCCCCATGGAACAACTGGGCAATTAGCCACAATGAAACATACCTTGCACGGTAGCAATTTTAGTGTGATAAATTATGATGATAGATTACAACGGCGGTATACAAATCTGCAAAATGTGTCATTTTTGAATTCAAACTATCAAAGATAAAACCAACTATCACAAAGGACATAATCTCAGAGACCCGAATTAATTAGAAAGATGTAGACTGTATAAGATCTTGCAAGATTGAGGACACTCTGGAAGTGAAGTGGTTAAGGACAGCATTGGGAATCCCATGCACACTGGAACAGCAGTTTGGGCCCCTATAACCACCTAGTGTTTACAAAGATTCTCGTACAGATTTGTGATTAATAAAAAGAAGTTAAGTATGCGTGTTTCCCAAAAGAATGAGAAAGTGAGCTTCAAGCTCAAAGAAATGCATGGCTTCTTCAACCATTGCAGGGAAAGATTGTTGGGGATCACTCTTAACTGGACTAATTATGAGATTTCATGCATTGTATCAGCTACATCATGTCGTTTTGTGGTTCAAGATTTGATAAAACAGTTATTCCCTTGACGTATACAGGAATGAGATGGTCAGATCAAACAAAAGCTCGATATGGCCAGAGATTGGAATTCCCAGGCAGGCTTTTCTTGAAGATTTCATGAGAAGAGACATCACACAATATGGCGGGAATACTGACCATTACTGATGGGACCAATTACTTGTCCACTGGTGCAACCCAGTTTAAAATAGATGATGACTAAAATCTCTAATCAGAGAAGACGAATAGATACATATACGTAGTGACCTCATCGAAGGCAAATGGGCCCTTCACACACAGCATCCGTTGTCGAAATATCCAAATGCTTAACCATTCCAACTTTATAAACACACTATCAAGAACCGAGTCTCTTTCTTTCTTGCCAACATACAAGGAGTCATTGATAATGTCAAAAAAGGTAATTTTATATGGAATAATAATTATCTGAATAAATTCATGGATAAAGACCATCCTTCAATATCTCAGCTGTGTAGAACTCTGTTGACAAGATCTATATATAGAACCAAGGCGAGGCGATCCTCCTTTGTTTTATTTTTGTACTGTTTCTGCAACAAAGACCCAAAGATGAAGGGTGCATCAAAGACGATTTTTTACACAAAAGATGCAACCAAAATAGACATAGACGGAGAGTAAGGAATATTCGTTTATAATGAGCAGAAAGAAAGATATCATCTGTATGGCATGAAGATAATCAATAAGTCAAGTTTCGGTCCTTCAAGCGGTATAGGCAGAAAAGTCTCGGAAAACTATATCCCGAAAAAACGTTCGTTTCGATTAAGTTCTCATGGCGAATATAATGTAAGTAAGTTCTTATATTATTGGCAACACGGCGGAAATCTATTATCCTATCTTACTTTTACGAAATGTCTCTTAAACAAAATTGCAACTTAAATGTTTTAATTAATTTATTCAATTAATAAACCTGTGTCCTGTTTTAATCATGGTGTCTTATAAAACATTGAAGAAAGCAGAGATCTTTTATTTATTATTTCAGCATGATATAGGTATCTTTTGATAGTGGACGACTCTTCAGAAAGCTTCTGCTCTTCAACTGCCCCTAGCTTGGCGGTCGGACACAGATCTCTTACATGCCCAAACTTCTGGCACGCGAAACACTTCTAACCCCTTGCAGGACGCTTGTCCTTTGGATGCATACGACCACACTTTCACAACCATCTTTAACACCCTTTGATAAACCACCATTATTGCTTCTACTGCTTGGTAATGAACCTCTTCGGCCACTTGAACATTGGTTCTTAAGCCAGTTTACTGCACTACCTGCTCCATCTTCTGACAAATACCTTACTTGTTTCCAGCAAGCTCTGCCACTTGTGCTGCCTTACAGGCACTGTGAAAGGTTAAGGTATCATCAGAAAAAAGTTTCCTGTATATTTTTTCCAACCGAAGCTCACACACTAATCGATCCCTTAAAGCTTGTTCTTCTAGAAACTGCCTGAAATTGCAGGTGCTGGCTAACTTTCGCAGCTCTACAATATATTCTGCTACACTTTGATCTGCCTTTTGATTGCACTTGTTATTGTTAAAGATAAATCTCTCATAAGTATATTTTTGAAATTGGAGGTGAATAGTGACCTTTTAGCAAACCTGTGATTACATCGTAGGATAGGTCGCATGTTTTTTTTGGTGCAGCCAAGTTTTTCAATGTCTGATTAACTGCTGCTCCTGCTAGATATTTTCATATTATCTTTTACCGTATTGACTCTAAACATTTGTTCCAGTCGTTCCAGGTATGTTTCAAATTCTTCTGCCTTGCCATTAAAGACTTCAATATTTCCTATCAAAGCCATCACACAAAAAGGCTCACGGAAGTCACAAAACTAAAAACTGAAACTTGAAATCCACTTCTCGTCGTCAAATTATTATGTTTCTATATAACGATTTAAAACATGTGGGTACTGGATAAGAAATCTATAATTAAAGCTTCAGAGAATTATCTATGCCCTAGTTTCTGTCTGGTTTCAACACCTCTACTAGCTTTAGGGCCAAATTATGAACTGACTGGTAAACGTCTGGTGTTACCAGTCAGTCCATAATTTGGCCCTTATGCAGGTAGCCAAGGAAATACATAACAGTTTCAATAGTAAACACATTATTCTCGTTTTTCAGGACCTCGATGGACACTTTCAAACATTGTTGTTCAGTACCCTTAACTCTTCCAGGCCTTCCCTCCTCTGCTGTAAATCGTTTTGAATGATGTGGGAATTTCTTTGTGATACCCGTACCGTACAATCTCAGCATTCAAACGATATGTCTTTCCTAGTTCTTTATTTTATCACAATGCTCTTTTTCAAAAGCCTCAAGACGCAGACGTTAAGTTCCACTAGCAGAGATCCGTCTTCTTTTTTAGGTTACTGTTAGGTACCTTCAACTCCTTCAGGCTTTTCCCTCGTCAGATGTTCGTTTCAATGGAAGAATTTCTCTCTGACATAGGTACCCCTAAAATTTCAGCATTGAATGTTGATATGTCTTCTCTATAGTTATATATTTCATCAGTGTTCTTTTTCATGGTTTAGCAAATCATCTTCAAGAACTTGTGAATAATTTCTTCGGAGTCTGCTTATGTATTTATCCTTTTCCTGAATCTCCCTAGTTAGTTTTTCCACCTTCTCCTGCAGTAGTGCTTATCCTTTTCCAGAACAATAAGCCTTGTATAAAAAATGAAGGCTTTCACGGATGGTCAAATCTAGTAAAAAAGTTTTTCTCCAAGCTATAATGCCGTGGTCGAGTAATATTTCTACATAACGTTTCGTCTACTGCTGCGGTAGACATCTACCCAACGCGTTCTGACCCATTCGGAAACCAAGTGTTCATAGAAAAGGAGGCAATTTTGCAATAATACCGAAAGACCTGCCATTCGAAGACATCATCGCAAATGTGGAAGCCAGCATACGCACATTACCTCAAACCACTGCGGAGGAAATACGCAATGAAACATCTAGGATTCTACGACTAGCGAAACTTCCAAAGTGCAATGTGACATACGAGGAAAGGAAAGCTATTCGCAGCCTGAATACAGACAAGAACAAACTAGTCCTGCCTGCGGATAAAGGAAACGCAACGGTAATCATGAACGCGACTGACTATGAATAAAAAAATTCTGAACTACTAGGCCCCTCCACCTACAGAAAGCTGCACTATATTGCAAAAAACCAATCAACTCACCCGAGCACTACCGTTAGACCCGGAAAACTTAAGGAAACTCATCAAATCTGAGGCCTTACCTCCTAGAATATATGGGCTTCCGACCATTCACAAAACAGGTAACCCATTCAGACTCATTGTAAGTGCAATAGATTCGCCCACATACAGCATAGCCAAATTCATCACCACTCTCCTTCAGCAACGAATTGGCCAATCCAGCTCTTATGTTGAAGACCACTCATTTTATCAAAAATATCAGTGATATCACTCTACTACCAAACGACATTCTGGTTAGTTTTGATGTCGTTTCGTTGTTTACCAAGGTACCAGTGAATCAGACCTTAGAGTATCTGAAAGATGTTTTTCCGGAGAACATCAACAACTTATTTCAACACTGTCTGAGGACTATGTAATTCCAATGGCAAAATGAATTCTTTGAGCAGACAGATGGAGTCGCAATGGGGATTCCACTCAGCCCGGTTACCACCAACTTCTGGAACACTTTGAATAAATGGCACTGCGAACGGCCACAAAGAAACCTACTTGTTGATTTCGCTATGTAGATGACACTTGTTATTTTGGAACCATGGACAGGCAAAGGTCGAAAACTTCTTTAATCATCAAAACTCAATAGAAACCAGGATACTGTTTAGCAGGATCAGCAATCGTCGAACACGTGTTAATACAAACAAACCATGTCATTCGTTTCGACAGACTCAAGCATTGGATAGGAGCAAACATTTTTACACCAGGATCCACAGAGAAGCCATAGAGATACAGAAACACCACAACAACTTTAACAGAAAAGAAGAGGGTATGAACCTTAAGAAATGCTGGTTGCCAGTTCTCCAAAAAACAAAGATCCTTCTTTTCCGAGAACGAGACAAGGAAAATAGCGTAATACAAGCCACGCACACAACCCTGGATATAAATAACGCATGTACAACAACGTCGAATCCAGTCATCGGAGGAACACGGAAGAGAACACTTCGTCCTCTACCACACCGCCTCTGAAGATGTCTATCGCAGCAGTAGACGAAACGTTAGGTAGAAATATTACTTGATCACGCCATTATAGCCCGGAAAAAACATTTTTTACTAAATAAGTCTTGTGTTTCCCTAATTCCCAGTGTCTAGTGAAACAGTTTGAATGAAACATTTTTGAACAACCAATACATAAGTACTAATAAGTTCTGTTGTTGTTTTCCACAACATGAATATTTATCCATGCTGCAAATTTTGGCGATGGGCTATGCTAGGACTCCCAAGCCTCCTGACCGATGACGTTACAATAATTGTTATATTGTTGATAATAAAACCGTCAACATATTTTAACGTTCTGTTTAGGAGTGAGGCAGATGAATTGAAGATAAGGTCACAAGAACTTCTGAAGACGCTTCTAAAGTATAAAGTAAAAACAAGAGAAGAAGACTTATTGTATGTTGTAAGTTTCATGTATCAACTTGTGGGGCTATACTATTTTTCCACATCAAACAAACAACTTTCAAGTCAAACTTGGGGTGCTTTTCTAGTTTTATGATTTCTGGCTGGCACATTTTGGGTTGGAATCATAAGTACCTATCTAGCCTATCCATGATGCCCTGAATGACCACCAAAGGGAGGTGAACCACTCCGTCTTGAATTTTCACTAATTATAGACTATCAGTCAGTGGAGAAATGGATAATAAAGCCATCAACCTGTTTTGAAATAAAAATGCCGATATTTTATAACTGTGTAGTGTATTTTCATTGCCATCCGTATATCTCAAAGTAATTTAATTAACAAATGGGTGTATGTTGCTATAAAATCTGACAGCTCCAACCTTTGGAACATTTTTCCGGACGCAGTACAGCCCTAATAGCTTCATCGAACACATCTTTGAGTCCAACTTGAGTCAATGCGGAACACTCCATATATTTGACTGCGTTTATATCTTTTGCTAATGCCACACCCTAAAATAAATTGTTTGCCTTATCAATTAATGATGGCCTCCGGGTGCTTACTTGTGGGTAAGTGAGAATTTCTCCAATATTATCACCTGGCCTTCTGTCCTCTCTCAAATCTTGTTGCGTGCCAACTAGTATAATAGGAACGTTTGGACAGTGATGTTTCGCTTCAGTAAACCACTGAAAATTGAAAAATCAAACACTTGATTCGGGAACACAATAATACCACCACACCTTTGTCCTGATATGATCGTAAGAAATTGGTCTAACTAATGAAAAACAAAAAAGGAACACATCAGTTTGTGGATAGGATAAGGGCCTGAGTCTATCGTAGTCTTCTTGACCGGCAGTGTCCCAAAGGTTTAGAAGAAAAGGTATACCATCTACCATTACGTTAGCCGAGTAATTCTCAAAAACAGTCGGTACATAATCTTTTGGAAAAGTGTTGGTCGAATATGAAATAAGCAAACATGTTTTACCTACGGCACTATAAAAAAATATGTTAGCAATTAAATAATGTAGGTACACGGATTTCATTGACTTACCCATCACCAACCACAACACATTTTATGGATCTCATATTTGATTTGTATTGTACGAGTGAAGCTCAACTATGTTGCTGCATTGACTAAGAATGGTTTTTGTGACAAATTTAATATTTTTAGATTGTGGCAAGAATTCATTAAATGATAAGAATGTTAATATTTACAAGCAATCATATGAACAAAATTTGAATATAACGTCCCACTTTTCGGAAAAAAAATAAGAGCTTTTAGAAGAAATACCAACCAAAAGAAAAAGTCAAGCTCAAAGGGACGACAGATGCTATGTTACAAGAAAAACAAAAAAATATTAAAAATGAAAAACGGGAGAAACATAAGATACCTACAGCTGATGGTAAATATTTTCATCTACGTTTACGGCACGTCTTCAACATAAGAATTTACATCGAAATTTATGATACATTTCAACTTCAATGTATCTAGTTGGTATTCGTCTATTTCTCATCTTTGCTCTTAGTCATCTTGTTTTTTTTTTCAATGTCTTTTTCTTCATTTTCACCATCTCCTATATAAGCACCTCTTTCTCCATATAACTTCTGTTTTATTGTTTCTTTTAATTCTTTTATTTGTATAATTAGTTCTCATTAAAAATTCCTTGCTATTTCTTGTTCTTCAGTATCCTATAGCCTGTTAAACTACCCATCAAACACTATTTTTTGTTTTGTTTTAGAATCAAACTTTTCTCTAACTTATGAAACATCAAGGGATGGTAACAAGGAAGCATATTTTCTAGCAAAACAGAGAGCTGCAACACTTTTCCAATGCCAGAGCCATTCTGTGGATTAATAAAGAACCACCTCATAAAATAAATGAACAAATATAGAAAGAACCAAATGCTTACTCATCGCAGATCCATTTGATGGGATCTGAGACAGAGGCAAAAAGGTTCATATCCATCTCAGCAGAAGAGCTGAAGAAAAATTTGACGAACCCCTGTAAAAGTTCAAGATCGAAGTAGGTTTACACTTAGGAATATTTCCGTCTTGTTTAGGTTAGGCTCATCACATTGTAATGAACTGAGTTCAGAGCGCAGACACTTGCTATCAACCTTGCTATAATTACTTTCTGTTACTTGTACCTTTTTCTCAGACTCGTAGTTTTGATTCACCATATTCGGGATTTGGAAATTAATAATTTTTTTGTAACCAATTAAACCTAGTGGCGCCCAGAAGGAAGAAGGGACTCTTCTTTGTAAAGCTTTTAGATATGGTTTCTCATTATTACTGAAAGTAGAGATATATTGGATACATCATAACTCTGATTCTTCTCCGGATTATCCCTTGTTCAAGAATAATTTTCACATAAGAAATAGGTAGATAATTTTCGCACGAGCATTTAATTATTGAGAAAGTGATCAAATCAATCTACTTTTGCTGCACTAAACTGTAGAATCGAATTACTTACTTCTATACGAGAACAGATAACTGTGTTAGCATGTCAAAAAAATAATCGCATATGTAAATATTCAGGTCTGTGAAAATTGCCGATGACACGAAATGGATTAATGAGATTTCACATTATTATTATTCATTAATAACTATATCGGCAGGCAGCTAATTGGATTTTCACTTCAGGAAATTTATTACCTGGTTCTATAGACTAAAAGTAAAATTTAAATAAAATACCAGAGCAGATGTTTCTTTTCATAAATTCATAGTCATTTTCCATAGCTAACAAACTTCATGTTTCAAAAAATATATTTAATATTTTTTAAAATTGGAACTGACACGCCGATGGACATTTGTAATTTGTAAGCCAGTATATATTATCTATTGTATTTTTAATGTCAATCCACAAGGGTATTGGCAAATGTACAGGATTCACCTTCTATTTTTAACCTTCTAGTGACATTAAATCTTGTACCTGGCGATCAAATTAATTGTTTTTGATTCTAAAAATGTACCTCTTTAGTGACACGTGTAAAAATTCAACCAATATACATAGCTAAATCTCATGGTAGAAAGAGTTTTGAGAAACGGCAGATGCGAAATATTATGCTGTTATTCATTAAAACCAACCATCATCAGTGGCAGTTATATCAAATTACTAATAATTATTTCAAAATGATAATGGATAAATCGATGCAGCATGAAGATCGTACCGGTGCCCCACAGAAACTATACTGTTAAACTACCGCAATTTCCATATCGCGTGGAATTTAAAAGATCTTAAAAATCATATTAATCTAATTAATTCAGATAATGAGAGACTGGAAAAAGAGTAATTATAATGATTATTCAATAATATGGCACATATGGAAGTCAGTTGCATTGCGTGTAATAATTGATAGGATACTGAGATGGGATGGCGATTCGGTAAATAATTGAAAAGCAAACGGAACGCTTTTTTTTGAAAAAAATTCAGACAATGTACAACGGATATAATAATAATTTTATTGTGAATTAATTATTTCGAATGACTTATTTGAATAATGATAAATGATTCTATTGAACAGTTATTATTATTTTGTCTTTAGTCTTTAATTCAAAGGGTCTTAGAAATTGATAAATTATTGTCACAGATCAAAAAATGCAGGGAAAGGTACCTACTCATTTTATATTGATTTTCAATTTGTTTGTTGTGATGTGAAGAATCCAATAATCCCATTAAAAATGTCGAAAGTCGTACCTACTTTATTCTTCCTATTCGTTTCTATCGGATGAAAAGACATATAACTATTTTTTGTTCAACTTATTGTATCTTAGCATCTGGTACCCAGACAGCACAGAGCAGATGTCCCTAAGATGACAAATGACATTCAAGGCGTCTTGAACACTTCTCAAAGACGTCATTTTCTAACTTTCAATATTTGTCTATTCCAGACGCTAAGACACTCTGAAATAATTAGGTTTTTAAATTATTGTTCTGAAGCCTTTCAAAATGCTGCTACAAAATGTTTTGGAATGTTCTAAATAGCATATTGAAGTTCTAAAGTGTTCTAACTTGGCTTGAAGAGTTTTGGAACATTCTAGAACATTCAGTAATTTCTAAATTGTTCTGACAGATTTTTGAGTATTAGAGCCCTATTGATGCTCCAAAATGTTCTAAATTGGTTCAAAAGAGATGTAAAAGAGGATTACACAGTTTGTTTATGAAGTGATGCTTTCTTCTTGAAACAGATGTTCATAATATACGAATCCAAAATGTTCTTTTGATTTTTCCTGCCCCTTTTCCTATCTTCGTAGTCAAATCTCCAATTATTATAAAATTGTGTGTTTTATTTGATTCTATTGCTCTTGATACGAGGGGCTAGTCACAACATATTCAAGCAATTTAAAAGATATCCACAGATTTTCCCAGATTACCTGGTATCCCCCTAAGATTTTTTCAGATTTCACCAAATCTCCCAATAAGACTTTGCTACGTCTCCCTGATTTTTACCAAAGAACACCAGAAAAAGCGAACACGACTGCCGAGGTCTTTTACTTAACGCAACATGTGCATTTTCTTTAAATAAAAAAAAAAAAACACTACTATACACAAACATTCTTGCTCTGTATCTAAGAAATTCAAAACTCGGCTTCAATATTTATGAGTCAATGAAACTTCTTCTCAAATCTCTCTCTGTATCGGTGAAATATGAGCAAATCATAGAATCTGATAATTAAAAAGTGCACACAAATTCTATCTTTGTCATCTGAGCTGTGCTTAGCTCTAAATTTGACAAAATCAAAATAGCTGTAAAGAGTGACCAATTTAAGGATTGACCATTGACCTATATAATCTGAAACTTTTTCTTGAAAATTTAATTTAGGTCTTGCTTGACCATTTAAAACTAGAATTTTGTCAAGTTGGAGTAAACACAAAATCCTACAATAACCCTGAATCCAGGTTTTTGCCAACCCAGATTTCCCCAGATTTTTCCAAACCTCCCAAGATTTTCGTGAAGAGTTTTGGATATCTCCTGCAAAGTATATGTACACACGGGATATTCTGTTCTGAATGATCCCTCGTCTTGATGTATCTTGGTAAAATGTTTCGATAATTTGTTTGTCTGTTTGTATTAGTTTAAGTTTGTATTAGTTTTAATTTGTATTGTACATCAAATTTATTCCGAATGCGATCTTTTTTTAGATTCAGTGGGACGTTATATTCAAATTTTGTTCGTATCTACAATTTGATTGCTTGTAAATATCAACATTCTAATCATTTAATGAATTCTTGCCACAAACTAAAATTAATAAATTTGTTACAAAACCTTTCTTAGTCAATGCAAGCTTTTACTCGAAAAATACATTTCAAGTCAAATATGAAATCCATAAAATGTGTTGTGGTTGGTGATAGGTATAAGTGAAACAAATCGGTGTAGGTACATTATTTCATTGCTATGTTCGTTATAGTGCCGTAGGTAAAACATCTATGCTTTTTTCTTATTCGTTCAACACTTTTCCTATATATATACCGGCAATTTTTGAGAATAACTCTGCTAATGTAATGGTAGATGACACACCTATTCTTCTAATCCTCTGGGACACTGCCGGTCAAGAAGACTACGATAGACTTAGGCCCTTATCCTATCCAAAAACTGATGTGTTCCTTATTTGTTTTTCATTAGTTAGTGCAATTTCTTACGATAATATCAAGACAAAGGTGGGGTTGTATTATTGTGTTCCCAAATCAAATGTTTGACTTTTTTCAATTCTTAGTGGTTTACTGAAGTGAAATATCACTGTCCAAACACTCCCATTATACTAGTTGGCACGCAACAAGATTTAAGAGAGGACAGAACGCCAAATGATAATATTGGAGAAGTTGTCACTTATCCACAAGTAAGTTCTGGAATACCATTATTAATTAATGAAGCAAACAATTTATTTTAGGGTGTGGCATTAGCAAAAGATATAAACGCAGTCAAATATTTGGAATGTTCCGCATTGACTTAAATTGGACTCAAAGATGTATTCAATGAAGCTGCTAGGGCTGTACTGTGTCCGGCAAAATGTTCCAAAGATTGGAGCTGTCAGGTTGTATAAGAAAGGAAACAACATAGACCCATTCGTTAACTAAATTATTTCGAGATGTACGGATGGCAATGAAAATACATATTCACAGTTATAAATGAAATTTAGGCATTTTTATTCCAAAAAAAAAAGGAACAGAGTGGTGGCTTTATTATCAATTTCTCCACTGACTGTCTAATTAGTGCAAATTCAAGACGGAGTAGTTTATTCAGTCAGAGCATGGATAGGCTAGTTGTAGTAACTACCCAAAATGTGCCAACAAGAAATCATAAAGCTAGAGAATTTAAAAAATACAAGCACCCCAAGTTTAACTAAAAATTGTTTGTTGGATGTTGAATAATGATATAGTATAGCCCGACTAGTTGATACACGAAACTTTGATATTTTGGCCAATAAGACTTCTTCTCTTGTATCTCATTAGCCCATAGCTGTCCACTCCTAGACATAGGCCTTTTCCAATGAATTTCATGTCAATTGCTGGGGTATCCAGTGTGCTGTTGGATGTCATCTTTTCAACTCGACGATGGATAACCGTCTTCGTCACCCTTTTGTCACTACAACTATGGCTCATTTGTGTCCAACGCCATTTAGTTCAAATAATCTCACAAACTCCTGTTCTCCTTCGACTCCTTCTCATATCTTTTTGTTCCGAATTCTGTAAGACTTACTCCACTGGCTTCTGGCTTCAATGCTTGCCTTTTCTTTCGAGTTTTATCGGGACAATTAGTTTGCGTATGATGTTTTTGAATTAGTTTTCCGGAAGCAAGCTAGACGAGACTAATTGGCCTAGTGACAAAAAGGTCTTTTATCCTTCGAAGCTTCATTTTGAAGCCCACCACTTTAGAAGCTTCTTTATAAGTTCTTTTAACCTCATCTTCAATTTATCTGCGTCGCTTATCATGAGGCGTTTCTATAGAACTTTTGAACTTTAAACCTTTAATAAGCATCCAAAACAGTTAAAATCCAAATGAGAACTTTTAGGAGCATTTTTGAACAATTTAGAAACTTCAGAGTTATTTCAGAAAAATTAGGATCCAATCTAGCCTTGCTTTCCAGGAAAATGTTTATAATTTTTTTTCTTCCAGTTAGTTACCCTTCAATCGTTTTCTACAATGTTCTGTTTTCAGTTTCCCTTAGTCCTTTTTGAGAATCAAGAAAAAACAAATTCTAATGATGATGATGGATACCAACCTAAACTAGAAACTAGACACACAAAAGACTAACCTACATGCACTGTTCCTCTTCTGCAATAATCTTATTTGAACAAGAACAATTCTGCTACGATATAGAGCATGCTCATTTATCTCGTCATCTAGAAAAAATAGAAAATTTTAGTTAACTACCTACCTAAAAATGTAGTGTTGAAGTTAGGAAATTAGCTACCTTTTTAGAAACACCAGCGTATCATCCACAAAACCACTGTTGATCTGAATTCTCTGTAAATACCAACCAAGGGTTAATTCTCAGGTATTGAAGGTGGATACTACGAAAAGGTGCTACTTAGCTGAAAAACATCAAAGACAAACCAGATGGCAAATGCCTAGAAATGGTAAATTTTCAAATAACTTGAAAAAGTGAGATGATGATGATGAAACCAACCTAAACTAGACAAAAATAAAGAAAAGCATACTTGCAATGTTCACCTTCTGGAATAATCATCTTCAAACAAGAACATTTCTGCTACCACATAGGTATAAAATCTGATCACTTGTCTTTTTTATCTGGAAACCACAAAAACAATTTTGCCTGGAAAAGTTATTGAGCATTCAGCTATTCTTATATATGACCCAGTAAGCTGAATTCACTAAAAACCACATTGTGCAGCAGCAACAGCAAATCATAATTCAACCATTTCTCGTCGACATTCGTTAGTGTCCCACTGCTACACTTAACCTAAATAGTATAATCATGTAGCAAATGGGATCCAGGACAACTATGGCATCAGGCTTCCCCAGGGGACACCAAATACCAAAAAGAAATAATCAGACCATGAATTATTGTCCTGGATATCAGCAAAACGCAACTTCAATTGGTAAAAAATAGTAATCATTTGAAGAGAAAGTTATTGAAAATAGTTACAGCCAAATGCTCAAGGTTCAATACCATATTTACACAACCAGAACTAAGTTACCAAAGTTCTGGTTCCAGTACCTGTCACACCTGAAAAAGAAAAAAGCAGAATTTAATTCTTCTGGAAAGTTGATAAAAGCAAATGTTATGGATTGTGCCTGAGGGGCAGTTAAGATCATAGCTGTTGAAGTTAGAAAATTACCTTTTTAGAGACACCATTAGCGTCTGATCCATAAAACCTGATCCAATAACATTTTTTGTTCTAGACATTCTTCAGCAGTGATGATTCATGGATTTATTATACAGGCGATTTATTACGATTTTAGTTGGCACCTTGCGAGAGACACAGAGACAAACTACTACTTGTAATGTCACTTTTATTGAAAATAAGATAAAGATGGATCTGATGCTTTTCAGTTGTTTCAGATGGCTTTTTGAAACAACGCTGTTTGTGTTCTTCTTTTTTATTGTCTTTACTTCCTTGTTGAAATATCTGTACCCTTAGGTATGAGTTTTTATGTGCTTTATTCTTTTATCATTCTATCAATGAGTTCTGATTTCCAAGCTGAATTTCGGCCTTCTCCGACTTCAGTTCTTTAATAAATATCATAGAAAATAATAAGACTATTATTAGGACTTGTGTTGGATAGGTTCAGAGAAGCGGGATTAGTTCTCCGAAGTTTTTTTGGTACAGTTTCATGGTACAGACGTTTTGTCTCTGATTTGGCTACAAGGCCTTTGAACACGTAAGCAGAAAAAACGTCTTGAAAGTCGTTTGTGGACATCTTGGGGACGTTTTTAAGGTGTCTACGAAAGCTTCCGACCAGAATTCGTTTCTCATTCAATTTAGAAGTTACTAGAACCATTTGAAATGCTACAGAACACTTTAGAACTTTAATAAGCCTTTTGGTATAACATCATGGGAAGCAGTAAACGAAACAATAATAAAACTAAATGTATGTATGTTCGGAAGGAAAATAACAATCTTTGGGAATATATGGAGTGAACGACAACGAACCCGTTAACAAATCAGTAAAGTAGGAGGAACTTCAAGCGGAAAAATATTGCTGGGAGACTTTAACGGACGAACAGGAAGGACGACAAGGTGCAGCATTTGAAGCCATTGGCAAATATGAAAAAAAAAAGAAGGAAGTAGGCCCTCACCTTATTGGTGGGATCGAAGAAATAGAGAAATACATAGCAGATAAAAGGAAGAAATACCAAAAGTATCTAAGTTCAAATAAGACACGAGACAAAGAAATATATAAAGAATCACAAGCAAGAGAACGAAATAAAATAGTACCTACAGAAAAAGAACGAGTCATGGGAAAGAAACTGTGCGCATATTAATACTTATCTGGGAGGTAAAAGAAGCAGAAAGTTAGAGATTACTAAAAAATATGAGGAAAACACAAACCAAAGATATTATCAATACAATCACACACTAGCAATGGGACGAAGTACTTTGAAGAATTACTGACAGAACAGCGGGCAGAGTTTCAAGAAGAAAAGGAACAGACACGAAACATAAAAACTGCAGGATCACTAATAAGAGTTATGTAAGAAGTTGAAAAACACTGTGGCGTCTTGAAATATGGTAGGGCACAAGGCCCAGGAAAAATATATGGAGAACTGATAAAGTATGGGACCAATAAACTCTACAAACATTTAACAAAACTATTTCAAACATGCATGGATAAACATGAAGTACCGAAGTACCGGAAGAGTAGAAAATAAGCTATTTAACAACGATATATAAGAAAGGAGACAGAAACAAATGCGAAAATCACCGATGAATTGCAGTAGCAAATACGCTAAGCAGAGTGTACAAAGATATTGAGGCAGAAGAACAGGCTGGTTTTAGAGTAGGAAGATCAACTGTAGACCATTTATTCAGTTTGACCCGGGTAATGGAAGAGAAACTAGCGTATAACCAAGAACTTCATCTACTTTTTGTAGATCTAAAGAAAGCATATGACAATGTTCGGCCGAAAAAACTTTGGGAAGCACTGGAAAAGACCAAAATCAACTTAGAACAGCAGTAAAAACGCTCTATAGTGATACAAAGACCAAGATTAAACAGGGAAACATAATCAGTAAAGGCTTTATAGCAACTAAAGGACTTAAACAGGAATGCTGCAAATCACCAACACTTTCTAAAATATACTTATTGGAACAAGCGCTTAAGGGGTGGAAAAACAAATGCAGACACATAGGAATACCGCTCAATGAATACAATCTATATACTTTAAGCTTTGCAGATGATCAAGTATTAATTGCACAGGACTATAATGACCTAGAGTACATGACACGAAAATTGATAGAGGAATACGAGAAATGGGGTTTGGAAGTAAATCTAATTAAAACAGAATATATTATGACTATAGGAAATGAACAACGAACTCTCAATTGAATAACGGACAAGAAATAGAACAATGTACTGAATACAAATATTTGGGCATTAAAATCTCACATAAGGGAACCAGACGAAGCAATTAAAGATCGGAATATACAAGGACGCAAGGCAATATCCCTACTACCTTAATGGTGTACTGTGGGGATCAAAATATCAACAAAACTAACAAAACGAGAATATACAACACCATAGAAAAGCATAGTCACGTCAATCACGTATAGTTCAGAAGTCTGGCCACTAAACATCAAATTCGCAAAAATGCTATAGAAGCAACTGAAATGGACTTTTGGAGGAGATCGTCAGGCAGGTCAAAAATGGAGAGGACAACAAATCTGAGAATTAGGGAGATTATGGACGTAAAACGCACAATAGTAGATGATATAAAGGAAATACAGCTGATTTGGTTCGGACATGTACAAAGAATGGCAGGTACAAGAATACCCAAGCAAATAATTGAGTGGAAGCCAGGGGGAAGAAGAAGACGCGGCAGACCAAGAAGAAGCTGGAGAAGTGGAGTAGACGAGGAAATGAATGACAGCGGCTTAGAAGAGGATGCCTGTGGCTTTATGGTCTTCGACCCCTTTTTACCTTTCCCTGTGCTCCTCTTAACGAAAAGCAAACAGTCTATAGTGGACCGGAAAGGTAATTGAGGCTTTCCAAAGTGTAAGGAAAATACTTAATTGGAAGAGTTTTGAATTGAACCAGTTCATCAGCTCTTTTACTTGCATCAAGATCCTGAGTGATCCATCATCGTCAAGCCAAATAAGCCGTGTTCTCAACATCGACATTGAAATAATCGGAGAAACTATGGTGATTGTGATTGGAAATGTTCAGCATATGCATTGGCCAAATTCTAGGTATTTTTCAGGTACGAACTGTTAGAAGTAATCCTTTGAAGTTTTCTTTTTGAAGAAAAATAAATGGTCTATAATGAATTTTGAGTTCCTAGATTTGTTCGAAATATGAAGTGTAGGTTTTTCAAAGGCTCCAATTTCCGTTACTTGTTAAGTTGATTCTGAAATACAAATTGCCAAAGAATCAAGTTTAATTAGGTCTCCAAACCCAAATAGACCTCGTTAAAATGTAAATCATTGACTGGCTTGTGGTGCGGGAGATTTCCCAAATTTAAAAATGGCTTGCGGTTCTGGATGGCAAATCTCCCAAAAAAAATTAATATTTAAAATGCAAAATTTTTGTGCGGGTTTATTTTCGTATTTTACTGCACCACACAAACCAATGCTGATTTGATTAGATTAAGCCATTTATTTGCGTACGTTATCATTACTAAACATTTAGTACCCTAAAAATGCACCATCTGAAATGTGTGGTGGTCGGTGATGGGTAAGTAATTTCACTCTTAAAAGAAAAATATCCTCAATAAATGTTCTAGTGCCGTGGGTAAAACGTGTATGCTAATTTCTTACGCCACTAATGCGTTTCCCAAAGAATACATCCCAACAGTTTTCGATAATTATACAGCCGTGGTGAAAGTAGACGATACACCCATTAATTTAGGACTATGGGATACAGCTGGACAAGAAGACTACGACAGGCTTAGACCTTTGGCTTATCCACAAACTGATGTGTTTTTAATTTGTTTTTCACTGATTAGACCCGCTTCATTTGAAAATGTTAAATCGAAAGTACGGTTTGATATCGAATAGGCATCAATAAATAATGTGATTTTTTTTAGTGGTACCCTGAAGTACGACACCACTGCTCCCATCCTCCCATAATATTGGTTGGCACGCAACAGGATTTGAGAGAATATAGAATACCTGGTCAGAAAATTGAAGGAGTTATTAATTATGCCAAGGTAGGTACTATTTATGGAATCGTGAAAGGTGCAATAGGAAATGAATTTTTGTTTTAGGGTTTGGCATTAGCAAAAGAAATAAGGGCTGTGAAATATGTGGAATGTTCAGCTTTAACTCAGAAAGGACTTAAAACGGTTTTCGATGAGGCCATCCGAGCTGTACTACGACCAGTTCCAATTGAGCTGCCGTCGACCAGACGTTGTTGGATTTTGTAGTTTTCCTTATTAATCAACCAATAATATTTATTTATGAAGTTGGACTTTTTCTAGGATAGAATAGAATATAGAATAGAACTTTATTTACGGACAAGCCATTTTACAGTACAATAATTCTTATCTATATTTAGGTAGGTGTGTGTAAAACCGATAAATCATATTATTGTGTCGCTGTCTAGACAAAGCACCTAATAAACAAAACATTAAATATTAATAGTAGATTATACCACGAGTCAATAATGATAGCTATTATTCCCGAGGATTATTACCAACTGAGCCGCGTTAGCGGCGAGGGAGTAACATTCCGAGGGAATAATAGCCATTATTGCGAGTAGTATACTCTACTTTATTTACGACAAATTAATTTATTTGAGATTTTCAATGAACAAATTTCATCCGTCTCATAATTTTCAATACAAATCCACAAGCACTACACGTTTGACACTGACACTTTTGTGGAATAATGACCATTAATCCCGCTACTCGTCATTAATCCCTGGAGGAATAACATATGTCATTATACTGCCAAAATCACAAATATAATACGCACATTATACATTAGTCGTAAATAAAAAAAAAACAACTCAACATGTTAAAATCTGTAGAGAAGGCGACTAATATTAAAAAAGAAAAAAGATAACAATAATAAAAAGTTTAAAATGACCTTAACAATAAATAGACATAACAATATGGTGACTTTTACAACAAGAATAAAACCACTAACAGAAACAATCGTTAGATCGATTTGATTTGTCTTCTGAAACCTTCCACTCCAATATTGAAAAGATCCACATTCAATTTACCTATTTATCACAGTATTTGTCAGTCTTGAAAAACTAGTTATAGGAGAATTGTATTACCCATAATTAGTAGGATGATATTGTACATAAAATAGTCTAGTCGGTTGTTTTTTATGTTATGTGATAGGTACATTAAAACCAGCCCAAGATAAGAGCTGAGCTGAGCTGACTGAATTATTATATTATTCACCAGTTTGAACAGAATATACACAGGTCCTGATGATCAATCTCTCCTTTGTGTTAGAGTTTGCATGTTTAAAAGTTTTAAGATATCATCATAATCAATTAGTGTCACACTGGCGTAGCCAGGGGGGGGGGCAAGGGGGCATTTGCCCCCCCCCAAGACCCTTAAATTTTATGAATATTTCTTCAAAATTAAGATAAACAGTCCCAAAAATAGCGTAAAGAAACCTGAAAAAGGGGCGTGGCACCCAAAAATTTCGCGCCTGCGGCGCTTTGCCTCCGGCAGCGGTCGCGGTAGGGCCGCAAAAGACGCTTCCTGCAAATTTGCCCCCCCCCAAGACAAAATCCTGGCTACGCCACTGTAGTGTCATGACTATAATGTTTAGTTTGTATGCAACATGTTTTAAGAATCTTCTCTGTACCCTCTCCAGTTGGTACCTACTTATGTTTACGGGGACCAAACAGAACTTGCATACTCCAGAATTTGCCGAACTATAGCTGAATAGGCATTCCTCAAGGTGTAAATGCTATTAAAATCTCTCGAATTACGCATTACAAATCCCAACAATCCCATGGCTTTATTCGATATTCTTTCAATATGTTCGGAAAAATTCAATTCGACACGACATCTAGAAATACTCCAAGATCTCTAATAGGTAACATATAAACCCTATCTAGTTCGGCTCAATTTATCGAGTAGTTAAAAATAATAGGGCTTTTAGATCTATGGAAAGACATCACTTTGCACTTATCATTGTTTAGTGCCAAATGATTGTCTTCACTCCAGCCCAAGAACTTGTCGAGTTCCCCTTGCAAAATTTCACAGCCATCGATATTTTTTATAGTGACAAAGACTTTCATGTCATCAGCAAAATTGAGAAATCAGTGTTTAAAAACACTCTTCACGTCATTCAACAAAAGATTGAGAAGGAGAGGGGACAGATGCCCACCCTGCAAAACATCAGTAGTGATGTTAATCTCTGATGAGACTGAGTTTTTTATCTTCATTCTCTGTTTTCTTCCTGGAAGATGGTCAATCACCCACCTCAAAAATGATCCATGAAACCTATATTTTCCAGCTTTTTTTCCAGATTTTTATGATCGACCGTATGTCAAACGCCTTGGATAAGTCGGTATATATCACGTCCACCTGATACCCCTCCTCACATGCACCAAACAGAGCTTGCTCAAACTCCAACAAGTTGGTAGGTGTGTATTTGCCTTTCATGGACCCATTTTGTTCTGGTATAAATTATATTCTTGAATAGAGCTGTTAATTTATCTGTAACTATTGACTCAAAAATCTAAGAAAATATACAATTGTAACGGTCCTGAACCACTGTGCCACGCCCAAATTTGCACCCGAAAGTCGTTTGAAAAACACGCCCCGGACAAAAATGTATCCCGATGCCATCAAAATAGTTATACAGGGTGTCCACTTAGTGCGATATCGGATGATATCTGCTTACAGAGTGATGCAAGAAAAAAAAATTAAATTACAAAGTTGTTTTGATTCTCTAAGGTGCATTAGTTAAAAAATATTTCCAAATATACAGGGTGCTCCGACGTGTGCTCCGTAAATGGGGTATGCGAAAAAACTTAGTCATTTTCAAATGGAATACCCTATATTTTAGTACATTAATGGATCGTTCTAAAAATCCTACATACTTTTTGTTAGGAATCAGCTATCTGTACCAAAACCTAACCGTTTTTGAAATAATTAATATTTTTTCGAAAAATCGCAGTTTGCATAAGTCAACAAAAACCAACAATAAAAAATGTATAAAAAAAAAATCTTGCTCTGGGGGGGTAATTACTTTCCTACTCTGTAATTCCAGTACTACCCTCGGTACTTCCTATTTCCTAAGCTTTCTTTCGATTTTAATTTTGTCCAGTGCCCTTATATTATGATATACAGGGTGTCCCACGAGGTTTTTCCCAAATGATAACTTCGAAACGCAACATCGTATGTTCCGCTGTACCTATAATTTTTTATCATTTTCTTTAACAAAGCCTTAACAAATATGGCATTGCTGATTTTGTAATTCTAACGGAAAATGCTATAATATACCTACCATGAATTACACTTAATATTCGAAAGTTGACGTATCACTTGACCGAAATTGAAGTGAAAGTGGTGAAATTGGATGACAATGGTAGAAACGGCACAAAAAGTTACCCAGATCCTCAAAATTTCAATTATATTAGATGACGCGTTCCGAAGTTATCACCTGGGACCTGGGAAAAACGTCGTGGGACCCCTGTACAAGGTGGAAAATTAAAAAGGATCCACCTGGATTTTCTCTAAAATTATCAGGAAATTAAAAAAACGCCGAAACACGTCGATTTTGTTTGCAAGGGGGACACTTTTTGGCTATTTCAAAATTTTCCTAGATGGCACCCCCTTACCGGGGTGAGTTACACCCTCAAAAGTTGAATAGGGAAACGTGATCGAGTGGTACCTTGTTTGAGAGGTATTTGAGATGACTTTACAGATCTGTCATTTTTTTCGAAATCTGACTTCTAGTCTAGATATTGCCTCGGAAGTTGCCATGGGGCGAAAAGAGAATGTGTGTTTCGTGAAAATATGAAAAGTGGGTCATGTTTGAAAGGTTGTTCAAGAGGTTCAAACTAACAAGAAACAAAGGTTCAAAATAAATAAAATTGACGTGTTTCAGGAATTTCAATTTTTTCTTGTAGAAATGTACGAAAAGCATTTCTCTTTTTGCCGCATGGCAATTTCCGAGGCGAATATCTTGAAAACTAGTAGTCAGATTTCGAAATAAATTACAGATCTGTAAAGTCATCTCAAATACCTGTCAAACAAGATACCACTCGACCCAGTTTCCCCATTCAACTTTTGAGGGTGCAACTCACCCCGGTAAGGGGGTGCAATCTAGGAAAATTTTTAAATAGCCAAAAAGTGTCCCCCTTGCAAATAAAATCGACGTGTTTCGGCGTTTTTTTAATTTCCTGATAATTTCCGATAAAATCCAGGTGGATCCTTTTCAATTTTCCACCCTGTATATTGCGGACACGTGAAACAGGCTAGCGATAGGTGTTTTCGGGTTCTCGTTTTTCGAACTGTTCGCGAACCATCCTGGAACTGTGCAGAACTAGTTGCGTACTTTACGTATTTATTGTCCTTAGAACTGTGTCCAGATCGTTTGGAATTGCGCAGAGTTTGAAAAAACCCGAACATGTTTAATTTTATTTTTCTACAGAGCAGGCGAACGCGATAATTGATGAAATAAATCATGAAGCTATGTAATTTGTTTTGTGTTTTTTTATTACTTAACAATTCTGCCAGAGATTTTTGCCGCCCTTCAATTTTGCCGCTCCGTGCAGGGGCACAGGCTGCACGGGTCCTGGAGCCGGCCCTGACTGCAAAACCAATTTTTATCTTGAACTCTATCCTCTATATGCAATCCAGTAGCTTTGATCGCTGGATGGGGGCATATTGTTTGCACTGCACACGTAGCTGTGAGAATCTATGGCAATCCACCAAGGAAGATGTTTGCTTAAAGCTTTTGTGTGCGGCTTTTTTGTTCAAGATTAGTTCTTTCAAAGTATCATCCATCCACTTTGGAAAAATGGGATTCCTATTCATGTTTAAAGGAGTTGTTAATTTAATAGCATTATTAAGTAGTTATATTAAAAAAGGATTGACCTAATTTCTCCAAGTCATCAATTGAGGTGCCCCAATCAACCAATGATAATTATTATTATTATTTTTTTTTTCTAATTCAATTCCTTTATTTTAATTAATATATATCACAAGATATATTGAAACTTACATTCTAAAGACCCTGAGCTTTGAAGCTATGTGGGCCATACAAAATATACTTAAAAACAGTACAAAGTAGTAGTGGGGCTCTTATCAAAAAGGCACACAGAACAAGTTATAAATAAACATACTTTCTAATTACATATTAAATATGTAATGTAAAACTTTTTTGCAAATTTTGCAAAAAAGTTATTAAAAATAAGTCCTTTCGGAGAGAATTTAAAGCGGTTTAAACTACTGTTTTTAATTTATGGGAATAATCATATTAAAGTATCTTAAACCCTCACAGAGAACACTACGTTGTCCCAGTGGTGGTGGTCATGACAGATGTTCTGAAATCTTCTCTTGTTCTCGTGGCATAATGATCAATCATGCTTCCCGGAGTACCTACCTAGCTAAGTGTGATTCGATGTCTGTACAGTCGATGATTTGCAGCGATAAAGAAATATACAGGAATAACAGGATTGATAAATATAGAGCGATTATAGGTATATCCAAAAGTTTTTTGGGTTTATACCTACAGATCAATTGTGGGTAAGCGGAAAGGCAGATTGAATATGCGCTTAATAGCCCTATTTTGCAGGACACACAATGGGTGTAATTTATTGTTGGACGCATTTCCCCACAGCAGTGTTAGGTATGACAGATGGAAATGTATAAGAGAATTATTGTAAATCATTTTGCGATGTAATATTGGCAAGAATTTTGCTACTCTGCTTTACTGCTGGTGCGATTTTTTTACACAAAAGCAAAATATACTGTTCCCAATTTAGTCTTGAGTCAATTGTAAAGTCCCAAATACTTAATACAATAACTGCGCTGTAGTAATTGCTTTTGAAATGTTATCACTAAGTCCGGCCAATCATCACTCTTGGAAGTAACCATGTAACAAGATTTTCCTATATTTAAAGTTAATTTATGAAAGCATAACCCAGTCACTCACTGTCTCCAAGTCTCGCTCAATGGCATCTTTCATTGCAATCAGACTCTTACCAGAATATAATAGGCATGTATCATCTGCATATGAATATGGTTCTCAACGTAATAAAAGGTGTGAAATGGAGTTTATGTAGACCAAGAATAGAGACGGTCCAAGGATAGAGCCTTGCGGGACACCATGCTGGATGTCTCCAATAGCACTCCTTTCACCACCACAAACAACAAACTGGGTTCTACCATTCAAGTAATCCCCAAACCACGGCAGAATTGAACCAGTTATACCACACCTTTCAAGAATGGACAACAATACCTGATGGTTTTTACAGCGTCAAACTCTTGTTTTAAATCTAAGGATACCAAAACACACTTGAACTTTTTATCAATTCTATTGTAAATGTTATTCAACAAATCTGTTTTTGCTGAAGATGTGCTGCTGTTTTGCCTAAAGCCATATTGACGAGGGTACCAGAAACTGGTTGAAGTTAGAAAGGCATTCAGACGATTAATGACACAAGTCTGTAACATCTTTGATATAGCAGTCAAAAGTGAGATCTGACGGTAGTTGTTTACTGAAGTGCTATCTCCTCCCTCAAATAATGGAATGACCTTTGCCATCTTCAACATATTGGAAATGGTTGCTTCTCTGAATGTAAGGGTTGTGAGCATGCACAAGAGTGGAGATATTTCACAGCAAAATTCTTTACCTAATTATATCGATACTTAGTTTGTTGTTACCTGGGGACTTCATTTCTGGTTTAAGATTTCTTATAACATTGACTATTTCATTAATTGTTGCATAATTGTCCCAATTTCGTAAACGTACTATGTTTTGGTTTGTCTGTGGTACGTAGTTTGAGGGTATAGCACTTATGTTGTTTGCGAGAATTGCTGCTTCTCTAGAAAAATAACTATTGAAGCTATCATAAGCTACTTCAAGTAGCTCAGAAACCCAAGGTGTCTGAGATTAAAAGTTTAGGAGTTTTACTGTTTCCTGCATTATACTTGGAATTATGTATTATAGTGTTAAGTACATTCCACAGTTTTTTACTATTGCCCTCTGCCCTATTAACTTCACTGGTATAATATTCTTTCTTAGATATGTCTATGGCACTTTTTAATTCTTTTTGGGATGCTTTATATCAGTACAAGGTCACTGTTAGGGAACAATTTATGTCTTTTATAATAATAGTCACGTTGCTTTAATAAGGGATGTAATGTTATGTTAAACCATTATAGGGGTTTTTGACAGTAGGCGAAAAACCGGTAGACTCTCATTAGTCTTTGTGATGGAAATGTTACTTGCCAGTACACTATTTTTCGGCCTATCGCTAAAATATTTATCAAAGCATTCACACTAGGGGAGGTTACAACCTCGTCAGGGAAAAAATATTCTTCCTGGAAAGTCTGTGACAAAGTTCGGTGGAGAGCTTCAGGGAGTGTCCACGCAGATGAGGGTTGATATTTCTGTGAAAGAAATCAATGTCGCATGTGTAATGATTATGTAGAATTTTGTATGTTTCAATTAAGTAACCTCTATTCCTGCGTTCCTCCAGAGTTGTCAGATTTAGAGCTTTCAGTCGTTCTTCATAAGACAATTATCTTAAAGATGGTGGAATTTTGGTTGCCCTCCTCTGGACACGCTCAATCAGATCAATGTCTTTTCTGAAATAGGGACACCAAACCACAACAGCATGCTCCAGCAGTGGTCTGATTGTCTGATGTAGGTTTTGTAGGCTCGGAGAAACACTTCAAAGGACATTTCCCTAAAACAGCGTCGTATCAGATAGACTGTTGAGTTGGCTCGCTTCACGATTGCATGTATGTGCTGTTCCCATTTTAGATCATGTAAGATATTAACTCCTAAGTCGGCCTGCTCAGTCACCCTTCTCAAGTTGTTATTGTCCATATGGTAGTTCAGCATAGGATTGTTGTATCCAATATGCAACACATACATTAAGTTTCAATACCCAGTCCTTCGTCGACCTATTCAGCTCAGCAAGATCCTCAACCATGGCACCATATATAGGGTCACAGAATATCTTGGTGTCATCGGCATACATACTGGTCCTACAGGATATGTTCTAGGCAATATCTGAGACATAAATTGTAAATAGAAGTGGGCCCACTACAGAGCCCTGTGGAACTCCACTGACCACACTCTACACTGTGCTTGCCAGATAAGGTGCCATTTATTCTAACTTGGTAAGTCCAACTACACAAGTAGTCCCGACCCCGTATACCACAATGCTCAAGCTTGTGAAACAGTCGTCTCTCTGGAGGAACAGTCTCAAACGCCTTTTCAAATTCGAGGTACACAACGTCAATTGGATAATGCTCTGCAGATGACTTGGTCCAGTGTTCCAGGCTGGACAGGAGATTGAATGTAACTGATCTCCCCAGCAGAAAATCCATGCTGATCGGATAGTCGATCACCATGATGGGTCATAAAGAATTCTGTCATTTCAATAGCTATAATTTTTTCTATACATTTGCAGGGTATTGATGTTGAACTGATAGGCCTATGGTTTTCTGTTAAGAGTTTATCGCCTTATTTCTTATAGATCGGAATGACAATTGCCTTTTTCCACGCTTTTGATGGGACTATGCCATCTGTAAATGATTATGCCATTATTCTTGCAAGGATTCCACTCATGGTCGCGCTGCAGTTTTTTAGCAATATTGGGGATACATCACCAGGTCTTGGACTGGCAGAGAGCTTCAGATCAACCAGCACCTTTTTCACCTTCTGTGGGGTAAAAACAATATTTTCAAGTGTGGGACCTGTCCGTCTGGCTGCGGGAAATTGTGGTATAGTTGTTGTGTCTTCATGTATAAAAACTCTGTCAAATTGATTGCTCAATATTTCCCCCACTCTTTGTGGTTCAGACTCAAGATGGTTGTCTGAATCTCTTAAGACAAAGTTTTGAAGCCTAGATTGAAGCGAACGGTTGATACACTGGTAGAACCTTCTTGGACCCTGCTCTCAAAAGTCGACCGAGCATTTCTTAATGTTTGGGTGATTCGGTTTTTTAGCACATTGTATGCCCGTAGGTCGCAATTCTCAGCAGAACCTCTGTATAAATGCCATGCTTTTCTTTTTTGGTTTATCAATTTAACATGAGCTCTAGTAATCCACGGTTTTTTAAAGGTCTCCACTTGACGCTGAACTCTGAAAAGGCACATAGACTTCTGATATGTGGTCCACTACTTCGACAAAGGTTGTGCTGCTGTTTGGTTCCCATTGCTCAAGAAAATGATTTATTGCGTCGTAGTCTCCCTACCAGTAGTTTTTGTGTCTTTTTGCAGCTTTGACAACCGGAAGTAAGGTCATCTGGGCTGTGGCCAACAGTAACATGATCGATCTTACCTATTGGGGGTGCAGACGTAATAGGTACTAATACTTGTCACCAACCTTTCATCAGATACCAAGAACAAGTCAAGTAATGAGGGGACAGTACATACCCTCCCGAAAACGAGTATTAAAGTCGATTAACTAATGCAGTCTTGATTCCTGGTAGGCCAGTAAAAATTCTTCAGCAGGAACACTATGTTTAGTCACTTTAAAGCTAGGTGGACCAATCTATTTCAGGATAATTAAAATCACCATAAATGATTGTGGTAAAAGAATCGTTCAGCCTGTTTAGCATATCCACAATCAAGTTGTTATTCTCAGACAAACATCCAGGAGGCCGGTAAATACACCCCACTATAGCAGTCGGACAGCATCAAACCTCAGGTTGACAAAAACACTATCTACCACAGTGTCCACAGTTAGCCCAACATTAAATTCTTCTTGCCTTACACAGGAGACTTGATGGCCCTGGATACAAGTTTTGATATATATATACCCCACCTCTCCCGCTTTCTTTATTTGCCCATGGTCATTTATTTCTGAATAATGTGTAGCCATGTATACCAATCAAAGAGTCTGGTAAGAGTGTGTTCAACCATGTTTCAGTGATAAAAATTGAATGAAAAAAAAATACCAGCTCAAATTCTCTATGATGGCATAATTTAAAATTATAATAATAATAATGAAATTATCTTTCCAGAGAGCAATTCATTTCCACCTCAAATTCGAGCGCTGGATGCGATTTGTCCAATTTCAACAGTGGGCTTGGACATACATATATTAAGTTGTGATAAATTTGGAAAGGCGATAAAGTTTACTATACACCTGGTTTCATCAGAGTTCAACCCGCATGGTCTGGTTCCACACTCATCATCATCTATCCATGATACCTTTGGCCTGTTAAAAACACCACGTGGAAAAATATCAAGATTGTCAGTGTTATGCCTTTCAAAAATATTCAACACAAAAGAACAATACCTTTCAACTTCAGCATTATACAGCGCTACTCTAAAGAATCTATGTTGGATTGCAGTGGTTGACACTTTAGGTTTTTATTAACTGTAATTAACACCCCACCTTGAGACTTATGATATATGGGTTCTGTAGCTCTAGCTCACTTGTATCAATGTCTTTGTTAAGGAATGCCTCTGTTAACAAGATTATGGCATAATTCTCAATAGATAGATTACATAAGAGTTTTTTTATTTTAGATTTTATCCCCCTACATGTGAATGATTTTGTGGAGTCAGCATATTCGAGAAGTAACAAAGTGTACAGTCACCTATTGATAAATCTACTCTTTACTAGAACCTGAAATTACTTTACACCTGCATCAAAAATAGCACTAGACAAGATTCGCCAAGGGCTGGTGAGCAGAATATCTAGACCTCAGATCACTTTGAAGGCCTGTCTCTAGCCAACTACATATTTGCCAAAAATAAAACTCCCAACAATTTACATCTCTTAATATTTTTTCTTTATTCTATAAACCTTATTAATGTTCTATTATAATTCTTTAGTATTTACAAAATACACACAGTAGTAGTCCCAATTAGATTATTTATATGACATAAAAGTGACATTTAATAGCCTATGTTTAACATAATAATTATATGAAAAAAAATAATTATGAAGTTTATTAAGGGACAATTTAAACAATGACAACAAAAAACTGTGTACACGTCTGACAAAATCATTATCTAGGAATATGCTTTATCTATAGATGATTTAAAAGGAAAAAAACACCCACAATGTTTCATTTTACAATTAACCTGCAATGTTCCCCAAACGTGTAATAATACAACAAAAGCAAATGTAATAGTAGTAATATAAAAATATAATAATTATTATGTATAATTTAAATATTATATAAAAACATTTTTCCAGAAATTATCTATTTTATGTACAAAAGAATGAAAATTATATTCAAGAAAAGCTTGGAGGAGGATTGAAATTTTGATTTTAATTATTGCAATTATTATGTAACATTTTTTTTTGCGCTGATATGACAGAAAACTTAACATTCATTATTCAATACATAATAAGCAATTTACGCATACGAGTTAGATCTATTACTAACATTAGAATTGACAGGGTATTTGAAGATTCTAGGGAAAATATACTTTAGCCAAAATTAAGTTTCTTGTGCGATCTGATGGCAGTGTTTCAATATCCTCAATTTTTTTGTAAATCCAACTTGTATGCTGGTAAAAAAAATCAACATCAATTTAACTATCTAAGCGATAAGTCTTGTTACAAACATCAAATAACATTTTAGCATTAAATTGTCTATGTTTGATGATAATTTGATAATGCAACTCTTTATAACCTACCTACCAAAACAAAAAATAAAATAAAACGCCTATGAAAGAAATAAATTTTATTTGAATATAAACGTTTTCTTTACAAAATATGTTACAACTCGATAAAATATAGTAAATCTCAATTATTATTAGTTACAAAAAAAAATATATTGATAAAGTCTATCAAGTACATGATAATGTTGGGAGGCACGATCCCCATAAGGTTTGGCCCAAGATAAGACCACCTGGCAAAGTAAGATGTGAGCAAAAGGAAGTTCATACATATAAACAATTTCTATACTCAATAAAGTTTTACAAGATTTCATATGTCTCTGCATTCCTAGGTTCTAGTCCAACTAAATTTGTCACACCGTCAATAAAATGCACTTTGTGAATTATTGATAGATAAAATTTACTTAAGTTTCTCGCATTTCAAAACCTCCCAACACTACACTTACCATAATTGACTAATTACAACTACATATTACTTTAAAGCAATTTAAAAAATATCTAACAAGTTTAAAACATTCAATTATTAAATTCAACCAAAAAAACAAACAATCTTGACGTTACCACAAATCTATTTAATTACGTAGGTATATTTATGGCAAGTTACCAAAGTTACTGCAAAAGAGAAACACATATGAATAAATGCATTAATGAGTAATTGAAAAATAAAGTTTTGCCAGAAATATTGAAGAGACCATCATGCTGCCAAAGATAAAGATTACTTGTAGAAAAATACAAAAGCGATAAACTTCCAGGGAAATTCTAGTAAATTTTAAAATTACAGTTGGCAAAACTGCACCAGTGTAGGTGGGTATCTTATTCTCAATTTTCCATATTGTTTATCAAAAACTTCAAGATTTAGAGTCAAGCGCAATCAAAATACATGCTTGTATTGGACGCAATAAAACGAGCATGTAGCATCAAATTTTCAGCAAAGTTCACTTTTCTAATAAGGGCCCAATTCACAACTGTTGTTCCCTGAGTCTTCCTTGGAGCGTGTGACTTTAGCATGGACACTTGCTACTATTTGACAAATTAGTCATGTCAATTCTAAACCTCGAAGGCTTTCTCAAGGTGCGAGGAAACTTAACGGAGCGACTTTAAATTCCAGTAAATCTCTTTTTGGTAATTTCTAGTAAGTAAAACTTTGGCATCATTTTCTTCACTATTTTGATCGCACTTTACACTAAATCTTGAAAACATAACATACTTAAGCAACAAAGTCTGATAATATTTTGCTCTGTATTCCATTACCAGCTGACTTTATCTTGGGGGGTAAAGGTATAGGACCGTGAAACCAACTTTTTCATGCCCTACATACATGAACAATGAATCACATATACTCACATCTCATAAATTTATGACTATATTTTTTTACTCTAGTCAAAAAAAGTTGTGCCTGTACACCATAGTTGCGAATTATTTACAAATTAGCTGAATAAAATATGGCAACCTTAGATGCAATTGTCTTGTTAGAAAGCAGACAATAAATAATTTGTCTACAATTCGTAACTACAGATCTGCTAAACCTTAAAACTGTTTTAAATTTCCAGAAAAATAAACAAATTACAATCTATTTACAATAGTTTTAATAGCCCCCCAAAAAATAATAATTATTATTGCAACAAAATTACGTTTTTTTTTTCTTAAATTTAAAACACTTTCAAGAAAGGAAAAAATTAACAATTTGATGGCTACTTAACTCTATTACAGAAGCGTACACTTGCGTTTTGGTTTGGGAGGCATGACGGGGCACAGCACCGCTCTGATAGCTTCGTCGAATACGGTTTTGAGTCCTTTTTGGGTCAGAGCCGAACATTCTAGATACTTTACTGCGCTTATTTCCTTTGCCATAGCCAAACCCTATTCGGAAATAAATAAAATTACTAGATTAGCACTTGGATTGAAATGATTGAATCATAATTTGTGTAATATGTTTTTGTTTCTTTGTGAATCTTCTACTATAGAGATGGTCCAACGTAGGATTTTGTTTGTCGCGAAAATCTGGCGGTTATTCAGGATTTAACAAGAATGGTTGACGGATATATAAAGGCCGGTATTAGTTAGTAGTTTTTAAGTTCGGAGATTGGCTGTGAAACATTTTAGATAGTGAATATTGTAAAGAATTAAGTTGTTTGCTATTAGTGAAGTAATTAGTGTCAGAGTATATAGTAGGTAACCTGGAATAAATTATTGTTCTGTTAATTGAACTTTGATTTTGGAATAAAAGGACCCGGGATTTCTGTCACGCACCCCAGAACCGTGAAATTATTTTAATAATTCCTACAACATTTCACTGATCAAAGTACATATTATTAAACAAGGTGAAGATTTTTTGGAACATAATTAAATAGCAGAAATATAAAATTGGAAATCGCAGATCCAACAAAATTACAATGAACACAGCTTCTTATTTTGAAGCTACCCCAGTGGAAACAGTGGCGTAACCGTGATGTCGGCGATATCCGTGTTGCGAGGCCTTTTTTATGTAGGGAGGCTATATTTCTTGCAACAAAAAGCTGCATATAACCAATCCACGATATCTACTAAAGCCCAAATTAATTCCCGCTTTTTCATAAATAAATATTCTTTGTGTATTTCGAATATATTTTAATATTCCCCAAGAAGTTTGGGTGGTCAGGGCCATACTAAGCAGTACCAGTACTATTGTGCTATTATTATTATAATGTTCGCAATTTTGATTGAAATCTTTAAGCCTGTTCTCACAAAAATCACAAACCAATCAAGGGCGTTATTTTGATTAGTGCAAATCAGTTTCCTGACTGTTTTCAACCAATGGAAGATTTGTGATTTTTGTAAGAACAGACTTTTTGGGCTTTTGTGACTGATTTCCAGTAAAAAAGGGTTTTTTCGTTGTTTTATGAGGTCCTAAAGCTAGATCTATCACACAAAGTCTTGATAAAGATGTCTTTTCAGGTCTGCAAAACATCTGAAAAGTGAAAAGTCTAAAGACGAAAAAAAGATGTCCATAGGATCATTCCTGGGGATTGTAAATTTGTGTCAAAAATCTTTCAAGTCTAAGATTTACAAGTTTTCCCTAAATTCTTTAAAGACTTTGAAGATTTGGGAATCTTCAAAGTTCCAGTTTTCAGCCTCTTTAAAATCAATAGTCTTGTAATTTTTATCTGTTCCTGGTAGGATGTCATTTAAACTGTTTCTAATCAACATTTATTTTTAATTTTACGTTTTGTTTTATGTTTTAAATGAGAGAATTTACACAATTAATGGGTTTTCAAATGTATAGGCAATATTATATGTAAATGTTTTTTGAGACAAATAGACTGAAAACATTTGAGGGAAATTGACCGAAAAATTATTGTTTTTCTATTCCAGGCTTTTGAGTTTTTTCTAGGGCTTCAAAATAGTATTTAGCTGGAATCGTCAGGGGTTTACACCGAATTTGAAATTTCAGACAAAATGTAGACTAAATTTCAACTTTTACGCTCGATATTTTGGAAACTCCAAAAGTTATGGAAATCAGTACAGTCTTATAGAGAATTTAATGCTCTTTTCAATGATATATGGTTGTTATTAATTTGCTGAAAAATAATCGAAGATATAAGCAATTATTCATGAGCTTGTCAAAATGTTTAGAACCAAAAATTTTTATTTATTTTTTTTTCATTGAAATTTCTGAATGTAATTGATGAGAGTTATTTCTGACTAATTTGGACCCGCTCTATTGATTTCTAAAGTCAAAAATGAGAAAAGCCCAAAAATAAAAACTTTCAATTTTTTGCACTTTTTCCTAAGGGTCTTTGGATTTCAAGGCAGGGAAGCCCCGGGGGAGCCTAATGCCATAGTTGTCCTGGACCTCATTTGTTGCACTAATATACAACATAAGTATGGTAAGTGTTTGCAGTGTTGTCTTTCTACCTGAGAAATGAAGGTTGGATTAATGGATAGTTGACGGTTTTGGCCTCGTTTTGGCTGTACAGGGTGCTGCAATTTGGAGTGTTTTAACAGGAAAAACACACTTCCCGACCAGATAGAGGAAAATTGACAAAGATGTCATGGGATCGATTTTCGAGAAACGTCGATTGTCAAAAACCGTATCGCGATATCTTCAATGGTACCATTAATACAGGGCGATTTTCGATTTTCCCCTATTATGAAAAATGGCTATAAGTTTTTTATTTATCAATTTTTTTTATTTCTGTAAAAACATTATAGAGACACTTTTTTGAGCACAATCCAGTGGCGGACTCGGTTTTTTTTCTATATCGCTCCGATTCCGAGATATTGACCAAATTCCGATATTTTCAAATGAAGCACCCTATATATTAATAGCTCATTGGATAGCTCTGTTTTTGCTGATTTTAATGATATAAAGTTCGATAGGTTTATCTCTAATAGTTTTGGAGAAAAAAAATTATTTCTGTTTTTGTCGTAAGAACATAATGTGTTAGAAAAGGATTTTATATGTGTAAGGAAAGTGAGAAAGGTCTCTTTCTAACACATTGTTTCTTATGACTGAAACAGATATAATTTTTTTTCTGGAAAACTGTTAGAGATAAACCTATCGAACTTTATATCATTGAAATCAGCCAAAACAGAGCTATCCAATGAGCTATTAATATAAAGGATGTTTCATTTGAAGATATCGGAATTTGGTCGATATTTCGAAATCGGAGCGATATAGAAAAAAACCGAGTCCGCCACTGGATTGTGCTCAAAAAAGTGTCTCCATAATGTTTTTACAGAAATAAAAAAAATTGATAAATAAAAAACTTATAGCCATTTTTCATAATAGAGGAAAATCGAAAATCGCCCTGTATTAATGGTACCATTGAAGATATCGCGATACGGTTTTTGACAATCGACGTTTCTCGAAAATCGATCCCATGACATCTTTGTCAATTTTCCTCTATCTGGTCGGGAAGTGTGTTTTTTCCTGTTAAAACACTCCAAATTGCAGCACCCTGTACAAGTGTAATTTCAAAGTGCATTAGGGAAAGCACTTGAAAAAAAAAAAAACCACCGATAGCTCGTACCTCTAGGGTGGTGTGGAAATTGGGCTTATTCAAGTTATAATTGACAGACTTATTAATAAGGTAAGTCATTGAAAATTAAAAGTTTTCCACAAGAAACTTTTTGTCACAGGGCAGCCACTAACAACCAAGAGATTAATCCTAAATCTGCAAGATTTCTGAGAAAAGAAGCTGAAAAAGACACTGGAATCCAAATTATGTGAAGTTATGGTAGGAACTTCAAAAAAACCATGGTAAGATTTCACTGTTTGTTGTCTAGTTTTTTATATTTTGACACTGGAATCACGAGCCAGACCAATTTCCAAATTCAAAATTGAAAAAATTGCTTTTCAATGTTTTAAGTTTGAGTTCATTTTTCAAGAAAAAAATATCTCAGAACAACTTCCAGCTTCCAGAGACAAAATGCAAGTTTGGAAAATTTGTTTTCATAATTTATAGAGCCTTTTGGGTAATTGGAGGACCTTTTACACGAGTTCCCAGACTTCAAAATTGAAAATTTGAAATTTTCCGCTTTATTTTATTCTCGATTTAATTTCAATTTTTGTCTATTACAGGCTAGACTTGGTTTTTATTCATGAATTTTGAGCCTAATTACATTTGAATTGACAGCTTTGCAGCTGCATAACTATTGAAGCTGGTTTGAAATTATTTATCTGTAGAAAATTTTAGGGGCACATAACTTCGTAGGGGGGGAGGGGGGGGGGATTTTTTTTTATAAGAATTTGTCATGTTATTTTTCTGTATTCTCTCTGAATCCGAGAGATTGTTTTCACATATTCTGAGACAACCCTTATAAAAAACACCCTTCACATAAACATAGGATTCAGCTTATTTGTTCTCTACGTTTTATTTTGGGAAATCGAAAAGTGCCAATTTTTAGGTTCGGTAACTTATTTTTTGTGAGGCTCCTTAAGGCGCGAGGCCTGGCTACGCCACAGAGTGGAAATAATAGCCAGTTTTTTATTATGGTGGCCCATACACAGGGTTTGGGGCTTACCTTAAAATAATTCCCATTTTAATGAAGTTTATATATTTTGGGAAAATTCCTTCAATTATTTTTAAAAAAATCTGGATTTGCGAACTGCTAACACATATTGTTCGTCGATTTTTAACTGACACTTTCCGTATGAGGAGCGAGGGGGTGTTTCATATGGCAAAAACAGGTGTGAAGTCAGGTAACCATTGGCGTTCTAATGTGGAGAGCCACCAGCTCACATTCCGTCCGAGTATCAGATTAAAATCGACAGACAATATGAAAACAGCTTATAAAAAAAGCAGTTCACCCTTCATGCCTTCAATCAACCCTACTTTTCTTTATTATTATTTGTAAACCCTGCAATGTTTTTTTTTTCATGTATTTTACGTGTGCTGATTGACTTTATGAGCTTTCAGAAAAATCCTTGCCTTCCTTATAAATGTAAGTATGTATGTATGAACACATGTTCAATCACTCTCAAGATAAAACCAAAACGCTTTTTTTTATTATGCCTTCTTTTGGAAAAAAGAAGATACAAGATGCTTCAAAAGAATACAGTACAACCTCGATAATCCGAACTAATTATTGCTAAGGTCAGTTGGGATTACCAATTTGTTCAGATTATCAAAATACGTGGTAAATTTACTTTAAATATGCAAATAATCAAAAATAAGCTTTATTTTTTAAGACAAATATAAATGTATGTAATTAACTTTGAGTTTAACTTAGGTTAGACGAGTAAAACAATTATGTAATGTACTTTTTGTTTGCTTCATACTGGCTGCTTCTCCCATTTCCGCCTTCTTTTTCATTTCTCTGAGGGTCGGTTTATTCACCTTATGATAAGTTGTCAGGTATGCAATCTGACGGATAAAAAGGCAATTTGTAATCCCATTGGTCGGCCAGTTATCCATTGACCAATAGAATTATAAAACAGTAATTTTATCTTGCAGATAGTTAGGTACCAGGAAGATGAATAAACCGAGCTTTAGAATAAAAATGTTCTCAGCTGTTTCAGAAATTTGTTCTGCTCATTTTAAACAAGTTTGAAAACATTTTACTGCTTGCGGCTGAAGCTTCAATGCTATGGCTTCAGGGGACAGGCTCTTGAGTGGATAATGTCCTTCCTTCAGGGCAGATCTCAGAGAGTCTTTCTGGGCGGTCAATACTCCCGGTCCGGAGATATTACCTGTGGCATTGCTCAGGGATCAGTGCTTGGCCCTCTACTGTTCCTCATATATGTGAATGATTTATGTCAAATTAATGTAAATGCAGAGATGTCTGTTTTTGCTGACGATGTCACCTGTCTGTGGCACTGTCATAATGTTGGGAATCTTAGGGGGATAGTATTATCTGGACTTGATCTTATAAAGCGCTGGTTTGATGCAAACAAGCTTGCTCTGAACATAGATAAAAGTAAAATCATAGGATTCAAATGTACGATGGAAGGGTTAATGCTTGCCAATAATCCATTACCGCAGGAAAAACACACCAAATTTTTGGGAATTTTCATCGATGAAAAACTGAACTTTGAAGCACATACAAGTCAACTGAAAAAAAAAGTTACGTCGGGATGCTTTGCCGTTAGGGTTGTCCGGAGGGAGCTTGGCGTGGGGGTAGCGAGGGATGTTTATTATGCCCTGGTAGAGTCTCATCTGCGCTATGGGATAGCATTCTGGGGTGCGTGCGGTGATGGCCTGTTTCAGTCCGTCTTCTGCTTCCAGAAAAGAGCTATCAGATCAATGTTTCAGCTAAGACGGAATGATTCCTGCAGGCCTTATTTCAGGGACTACAGATTGCTTACCCTAACATCTCTGTATATATTGGAATCAGTTTGTTTGATATTCAAAAATAGGTATAGGGATAGCTACAATTTCCAGCATAACTACAGAACTAGACAGACACAGGTTGTCCATCTTCCGATACCCTCTTCAACAATGATAAAAAAATCCTTAATATATGAAAGCCGTAAAATATTCAATAATCTACCTTTACAATTGAGAGAACTTGATAATTTTAATGCCTTCCGAAAAAACGTGAAAGACTATCTTTTGGAGAATTGTTTTTACACTTTAGAAGAGTTTTACGCAGCTAGTTGAATGTCGATTGTTAGTTTATATGTAATGATGTTGATGTTTTATATTATTTTATATTATTTTATTTTATTTTATTTTATTTTATCTTATTTTGTTTATAGTTGTATTTTTGTGTATTTATATTTAATTTTTTAATTTTACATACCTTATGAATCACATATTTAGTGTAAATTAGTAATACTTTACTTTTAATTTTATTTTATTTGATTATGTAGATATAAGACTGCTTTGTCAATAAGATTTCTATCTTTGATAATAAAGCTTTTTCTGATTCTGATTCTGATTCTCTGTGAGTCACCTTGAGGTGGGTTCGGGATGACTGTTCTATAAACTCCAAGTGCAATAAACACTCCTGATGCGTTCGGGTATTGTCATTTTGAGCTAAAAGAGTAACTCCACATGCATTCGGGAAGGACGTGCGGGAGTCAAAAGAGCTGACTCTGAAAGCACCACCTCGTCATCAGCAAGCGCCAGAGCGGGCATGCGCAGTGTTTGCGTTTTCGTGATTTTGTGTCATTTATCCTATTTTTTTGATTGCGACAATCGACTATTCGACTAATCGACAGTCAACAAATCAATATTTAATCTGCAATTACCTTGTAAATAGATGGAATGGAATGGATTTTAAACTGCCTATTTGACATGCGAGCAACGTGTAATTTCACTGAAATTTTCAATGATAATCTTGATGACTTCTTCAGACAAGTCTCCGAAATAAACGACCTCAACAAAATCAAATATAGGAGTCAAATACCAAAAATTCATAGAAAAGGCTAGAAAAACGTTTGTTGTTTTTAAAATAATACTTGTCATTTGTGGGTTAGGTTAAGTTAAGAAACTCCAAATGCACCCTGGCCGTTCGGTTTCACTAATCCACTCCAAAAGCTTTTTGGTCACGTGATAAAAACGCCACTCCAACTCTACTCCAGCACCGCTGGGCTATCCCGAACCCAGCTTTGGTCGGTACGATTTCTTCAGATTCTTCTTCGGATTCTTCTGATCCGGCTTTGAGAACATTATTACGTATTAAATTTTACATAGCACGCGTAGCGTAATGCGGTTTTCAGCAGTTGTTCGGATTATCAAGATATGTTCGGATTATGCCTTCGAGCCTTCGCTGTTTGGATTAACAGAGGTTCGGATTAACCATGGTCGGATTATCGAGGTTGTACTGTACTAAGGTAAATTGGTGTGTTGTTAAATTAAATTGCTTACTTGTGGATAAGTTATTGGAGCCAATTTTTTATCTTTTAACTTCTCAATGGTCGTTTTGTCCTCTCTCAGATCTAATTTCGTTCCTACCAATATAATGGGGGTGTTGGGACAATGATGCCTCACTTCTGGATACCACTGAAATTGTAAAATAATAGTTTTATAACTAGTCTTTTGACAGTTTGTGAATATATTGGAAATATAAATTATTTGGTTATTAAACTGGTAAAAGAGGTTCTTTCACTACTCTAACTTAAATGAGTTGTTCAAAATGTTGAAAACAAGAAGCATCAATTATTAGGTTTGTTAGTCAGTTTAAAGCATTCCTGACCAAAATAAATAAAACCCTCTATAAACTTAAATACTTTAAATTTCAAAGTTTCTACAAAAATGGGAGAATGACTGGAAAAATCAACTGATGTGAGCTCTTCAAGTTTGTTAGGAAGAGACTTTGCAGAATTGAACAGAAAATGGACAAATTAGGTACCAATATTTGGGTACTACCAGAGCTGCAACAAGTCAGTTTTAAAAAGACTTAAATCTCAAGCCTTAAGTCATTTCTAAAATCAGTATAATGTGGTTTAAGTCATTTTAGGACTTAAAGCCTCCAGTAAAGTTTTTTCTTTTTCGGAAAAAAACATTTAAGTCACAAATCATTTTGAATATGACTTAAATTTTAAGTCTCAAGTCAGCTTCCAAGAAATGACTTAAGTCATTAAAATGATTCAAATCAAAAAAAAGATTCAAGTTCTCTTAGAGCTTGCAGCTCTGGGTACTACATTCGATAAATAATTTCATTTAAGTTTGAGCTTTACCAAAGAGCCCTAGACAGCTGTTTGCTGTTTCACAATCAAAATTCTTGGGAATATTTACAAACATGGTAGGCCTTCCATCAAGCTAGCAGCATAACCAAAAAAAAATCTAAATTCCTTAGTGGCTTATAATCAATCTCTTTTATTCAGAACAATATACTTACTTTAGCTCTAACATTTTCAAACGAGGCAGGATTAACCAACGAAAAACAAATAAGGAAAACATCGGTTTGTGGATACGATAACGGCCTGAGCCTGTCGTAATCTTCTTGCCCCGCTGTATCCCATAGGCCCAAATTGATGGGTTTGCCGTCGACCATAACATTTGCAGAGTAATTGTCAAACACTGTTGGTATGTATTCGCCAGGAAAAGCATTGGTAGTGTACGAAATTAGTAAGCAAGTTTTACCAACAGCACTAAAAAAGAAATATTTATTTATAAACAAGGAAATATCTATTACAAATTATGTATTGCCTGCTCTCAATACTCAAGAATTTAGGGCAGTTTTACAATGTTATGGCTCTATCCTTGAATGATGTGATATGAAATTTGACCTAGTGACTCAATATGAATCAAACCTGAGGAAGTAATAATTAAATATTGCTCAGGTATTATTCATAACTAGGAAGTAACTGAATCATCAGCAAAAATGAAAGTTAAACTCCTTGACAAAATACCCCAGAAACTTCCCAATGATTCAAGGATGTTCTTGGGTAAATGGTAAGGTAAACAATAACATAACTTTTCAAGTTGTGGAGGTGAAACTTACCCATCGCCTACAACAACGCACTTTATAGCCTGCATTTTTGCCTTATCGCTTATATGCAATTTACTATTGAAAATAACAAAACTTTTTAACAAACTTGGGTGTGTGTGTTAAGTGAGGTGTCAAAAGCAAGGCCAAGCAGCCAAGAAGCACCAACACTATCTTCTGTTTGCACACATAAATCGTTTATTGTCGTTCGTGCACAGTTAACGTTTTTGTGGAAAAAATTTACGTAGATTGCGCCCACACTAGTCGACTTTTAAATTACGATGATGACCATTTATTTTTAGAATTTAAATGCTTGATTTTTTACCACCCGCACCAGAAAAAAAAATATTACGGATTATGACGGCGGTCGGTGACAAGTGACAAACTGTCAGTGTTAATTATTTCAATTTGAAGTTTGCTACTGTCAGATGAAAATAGCTACGTTCGCGGTAACATCCCGAACCAGTTTGGAACTAACTCAGGATTAGTTTTATTCCTTTCAGGAGTTTGGAACACTCGAGCTACTCGCTTCGGTGTTAGTCGACCCCGATTCTAAAGGGAGAGATGCGGGTGCAACAAACACTTTTCGAAAGGAATACGCGCGTACGCCCCGGAGCTGTTCCGGAACTCCTCCTAGCTGTAAAAAGAATAATACAACTATTGGTTAAACAACTAGTAAAGTTTGTTTTTTATTTAAAGATAATTCCCCATGTCGAAAATTTAGTAACTATGTTGGCAACACAAGCCTTTTCTACATAAAAAATTTGAAAACATTGACAATTTTAAATTGTATTGCCAACAATGTCATTTTGACTTTTATCTTTAAAAAAAAAAACAGACTTTAGGACTAGTTCAGAATCCATCTGGAACCTAATAGCCTAGGCGTACGTTCGCCAGTTCTCGAGTCGGCAGCTGGTCTGCGGGCAACGTCACCACTATCGGCACCAGATAGTGTGGAACTCATCCGCAGACCTCGATGAATTGCTTGCGATTTAGACTGTAAGTTCATCTTTTTCGTTGATTAAACGTAGAAAAGGTGATTTTAACATTTGGGAATTCGTTTTTTTTTACCTATAATCTCTTAACCCTTAACCAAATTGTACGTGTGCCAGCTTTTTTGTTGATGTGCCATTTCCTAAATATGTGATTCAGTCCGCTTAAGTTTCAAGAGTGTTTCGCTCAATACCAGTAGGAGCAGGCATCGCCTTTGTTATATAAATGCTAGTCGTTTCACGTCTTCCAAATTCCCGGGGGTACACTTCTGTACGTAAAATTTACGTGGTATATTACTTTTTTTAACGGTCTTTATTGATTTTATTTGTATTTCGCGGTATTTTTGAGAAAAAAAGATTGTTTTTCAAAATTTCCCAAATATAAGCGGCTAGATTGGCTGGAACAAGAGTTGAGGTCTGCGGCTGTCGTCACAAATAGTTAGGAGTTGACGCGTGACCAATGAACTCCCGTATATTCTTGAACTCCCGTGACATTAGAGAGTTCTCGTGCTGTCCAAATTTCAAATACCGTGACGTTTTTTGACAAGTATGACAGTTCTTATGGTATAAGCATAAGCACAAGTACAAGTAAAGTGTTAGTGGAGCCCGCTACCGGCGCTACCTAACGGGAAATAGCGGATGTCTTACCGTCGTAACGCTATACTATGTCAAAATTAGTTGGCGCTCCATTTATGTCTGCAAGAACAGCAACTTCTAAATAATTCCTCTATAAAAAACACCAAGGGAAAGTTAATGAATCTCAGGAATCTTCTGGCTAAATGAAAGTTGGCAAACAAGCAAAACAAGTTGGGTTCGATCACTTAATTCAGCTGTCAAAATGTAAACAGAATGAGGGATTAGAGAATTTTTGTGTCTTCGTGTCCGAGAACTATGAAATGCAATTTAAAATTCCGTATTGTTAGGGGTACCGTATTAGCGCAGCGTTTGAGGCACGAGAACTTTCTATTATTCAGCAGCGCCATGATGAAAAATATATATCGTGACGGATTTTCGTATCGCTAGTTTGTGTCACGTGTGAAATTTCACTCCCAGCGCATGTTAAAAAGCTTCGCTTCAAAAATATAGAAAAATTGTGTTCTTTACGACCGACTAGCGCTCCACGATTTACGTTTGCACGCTACGCGATCATCGCATTTTCTCCGATAAAGATTGCTCTAAGAAAGGCCGCTTTCTGTTCTTTATTTAACTTTATTTTCGTCAACACTCGACACAGAACTGATCCATTATGTTCCAAGGACTATAAAAACCTCAATGTATGGGGTAATTTGTTCGATTTTTTCGCGTCACATCCGTATTATGAAATAAATTATTGCATAACCATATAAATAAAGTACGAGCAGCACAAATATAAATAAACATAACCGATTTCATCTGTCTGCTCGTTTCTTAGAGCAAATTAAGCGCTATACAGGTAAACGGCTTCACTTTCCAACTCCATGTTACTACTCCTTTCTTTACCTTTACCTGCTGAAAGGCTCGTTTACACGAGCTTCCTTGTTCCGAGCAGTGGAATGTGTACCGACTCCGAGTGACCCCAACATTGATTTGACATGCGAACAAGAGCACAGCACATAAATAAACAAGGATAATACACACTACTAGGATTGCTCATCGGCCCCGTAAAACAATAAAAACAATATAAATATTTGTGTGCAAGAGCATAGGTCTCGAAATATTACCTAAGATATTTAAACTTGTTCCAGATGCCATGAAACTACTGGGTGCAAATCGAACTATAGGAGTTCCTTAAAAACTGAAGAAATGCAAACATTTTCATTTCCAAAAAAATTCTGAATTGCAAAAAATGTAGATGAAAGCAATACACCAAGATAATTATACCCGAGATTATACAATAATAACGAAAAATTCTGTGGTGTGTTGTAAACATTTTGAAGAAACCTAAATAATTAGATTTGAAACAAACATAGATAAAGGAGTAATTCGAGAGTTCAAACTAAAATGTCCAACTCTTAAAAGTGCCTGTAATTTCCGAAAATCAGCTCAAGTATTTGAATGGATCTGCCTCTCAAAAAAATCCCGAAGAAAGAAAAAGTTAGATTTTCAAAAGACATACTGAAACATAGTCTTATAACACTTTCGAATCTAGAAATATATTCATTTAAATCAATTATTTACTGTTTTTATTTACACAAATAGTTATATTATTCATTGAATTACTGTTTTTGGCCCTTTAGTACAATAAATGATGCATTTTTTGTGATTCATATTAACAAAATAAAAAATATATACTTGTAAAAACAAACAGCACCAGCACCACTTGGCGGTAAGATTGCGATGTTGCCTTTTTAACTTCATGGCTTGTTAAGTGTAGGAGGCTGTGACACATGATATTCTGGTAAATTATAAGAAAAAAATAGGCATTGACAACATTGTCTGGCCTTGTCCGAGGACGTCATCCTAAATATAACATAAAAAACCTATATCACCATTTCCGACGTCATTTATAAGTCGTCAGCTGTTTGCACTAGAGGCCGTAGTTTGGAATTCAACTTAATGAAGAAAATTATTATTTAATTTTGATTAACATAATAGGCAAAGAGAAAGATGAAAAAGAGATCAAAAAACGGGTTGCTTTAAAATGGTAATTAATGTAAGGAAACCAAGTAAATAACCTCTGGTGCAAACACAGTGGTGACGCCAGGGGGGGGGGGGGCAGAGGAGGCCAGAGGGGGCCCGGGCCCCCACTGAAATTTAGCTGGCCCCCCCTGAAAACTTGCTCTCATGTCGGCAACAATGCAATGCAAGATCGGCAGCCTCTGCTGGTTAATTCGGTATTCGGTGGGCACAGGCAAATAATCGTTAACTAACAGGATTGCTCATCCTCATAAGGTGTACGTTCGCCAATTTTCGAGTGGACAGGGCCTGCGAGTGACGTCACTTCTAATTAGCAGCTTATAATGATGACGTCACCCGCAGGTGTGGGATTCCTCCAGACATATGTCGACAGGTACTTTCCATTTGTTAAAGAAGAAAAGCAATAAAATAAAAACAAGGGCCTCACCTAAATTTTTCTGGCCCAGTCTGGCTCCCCCCCTAACATAGAACCCTGGTGTCGCCACTGTGCAAACAGCCTACGCCAAGGCAAGAAAGACATGCTGCCTATGCCACAACTGGTGATTTGACGTGGTGGGGCGAGGTTCAGATTTGTTAAACACAGGCCTTATGAGGATAGACTATTCTGAAGTAGTAGTGTGAATTATCCTTGAAAAATACCTACTTCTTGGCCTTATGGAATGATAAATAACTATTATGAGGTTAAGAGTAAGAGGTATATTATTTATTATTATTGTATATAGGTCTGTTCCCACAGGAGTCTCTGACAGTTTGCAACCTGTCAGAAACAATCGCTCAGCTGAGTTACAGATTTATCTTGTAACGACAGCATTGAAAACATGTATGGGAGATGCTTACTGACAGTTTGCAAACTGTCAGAGACTCCTGTGGGAACAGACCTTATGACGATTTGCTTGCTGACTCAGGCCAAGTTTGCACTCACTCACCCTACTTGCGTCTATTTCTCAACGTGACTCCTTCAGTATGCGCGTGCGCGTACTTTCCACAGAAGATTTTAAGGTTAGGTTTTCCTGTTTTGTTTTGATTTTGAACTTGTACTTGTTTCGTAACGTAACATTGTTTCTACTGACCCTAAAGTTTCTATTCACTCCGTTTAGGGTAATTTTTGTAGTTACATATCTGTTGATTCGTATCGTGATGGAGGGAAACAGTGAAAACATTAAAAAGGGCTTATAGATAAGTAAAAGTGATTGAGTAAGTCTAATGAGAAGTAAGTCCAGAAGTGAAGATGTATCCAAATTTCGTAAATATGTATATGTCTGTACTTGGTGTTTCAAAACATTTTCAAATCAGGGCAATTTAAGCAGACATACCAAAAATATGCATGATTCGTTGGTGGCTGGAAGGAAAAAAACAATATTTCCTAGAAAAAATGATTTCTTTGTCGGCGATGCCCGGATAAACAAAATCAAAAAATTGATGCTCTTGGACTAAATTTATTCTCAATTCTTTATGTGTAGAGTTTTTGCAACAGTTTTTGCTTATCCGGGCATCGCCGACAGAGAAATCATTTTTTGAAGGAACCTCGATTATCTGTGGCGGGGACTATAGATACTTTCTTTTAGATTTTATGTGCATTTTGATTTTTTCTGTGTCAAAATAAATTTTTCACCCAAATACATAGGTACCTTTGTGTTTTATTTATTACAGATATAAATAGTTAAGGGCTAGATTGAGTTTCTTGCGCTAATTTTTTGCTAAGTAAAAAATTATCCTAAACGGGGTGGATAGAAATTCCAGAGTCAGTAGAAACAAAATTAGGGAATTTAGGTAACAACGTACAAGATCAAAATCAAAACAAAACAAAAAAACCTAACCTAAAAATCTTCTATGGTAAGTAGGCGCACGCGCATACTGAAGGAGTCACGTTGAGATATAGACGCAAGTCGCTCACCCTAGGCAATCTCGTACCGTTAAAAGTTCCATTGCACTGTACCACAAAGCGAGCGTAGTGGCGTTTCCATCATCACGACCGACTGACCGACCATTATCATAAATTAGGCAATCCAATCCTTTGGGTTTGGATTGCCTAAATGCGCAAGTTTTCAATTTAAGCGGCTCCTGCAAAGTTGTGTTTTGCTCTCACTCGGAGGTCAGTTAATTTCATTTTGTTAGGCACAGATCAGTGGGCACAGACCACAAAATAACGGTTTCAAAAAAATGAATCGGGGTTAGAAGGGGGTCAAGGATAATACACACTACTAACACAGGATTAGCCTATCCTCCACGCCAAATTAGCAGTTGTGAGGTTGCAGCGTGTCGTTTCTTGCCTTGACGTAGCCTGTTTGCACTACAGGTTATGATTCTGCGAGCTTTTGCTTTATGTATGACAAATGCATACTTGGTGTTACTACATTCAATTAACATTCTAAAACAATACTTTTTTAGATCGCGTTTCCATCTTCCCCTTTCCCTATTATGTTAATAAAAATTAAATAATAATTTTCTTCAAAAATGTGAATTCTAAACTACGACCGCCAGTGCAAAGTGCAAACAGCTGACGACTTAGTTATGACGTCAGAAAAGGTGACACACCAATATGACGGCGATTACCAAAAACGAGCCGATAAGCAATCCTTGATGGGATAGGGTAGCGCTGATAAGTGTCGATTAATAGCTCAATATAATAGATGGGCCAGAATAACTAAAATAGTGTAATATAATCAATCATTTGGAGTAAATCAATGGAGTAAATGGGTACCATCGTCACCAAAAGTATCTGGGACAACAATAATGCATTAAAATCTCCTGGACTAATTCTAATGTCATTCATTTCAATGCATTTAAATTATAGTTTGACAAATATTTGACAATAAAATTCATACAATAGGACAAGAGCTAATGTGATGCTGTCCCAGTTACTTTTGGTGACGATGGTACATTCAGGCGGTGCCAGTGTCCAGCAGGGACTCTATTCTCGAAACAGGGGAGCAGCGTTCTTATGTAAACGAAGGCTCTGTCTTCGTCGTCTGTATTCATATTCCCATAACACTGACAGTGCCAGAGCCTCTGCTGAGTGGCTGAGCGCCGCTGGTACCACCTGAATGAACCCATTACTATTAAACAGTTGTCACAAGGGTACGTGCTCGATTGTAACCCGAACGCAAAAGAGAACACTCTGAGAGCTAAAACGAACAGGATCTTATCCTATCGAGCGCACTCGGAGTTCACGGAGTCTAAGCCGAACTCGGTCAAGTTGTTCGAAATGTTTTATTTGGGATTTACACTGAATGACTCCGAACAAACAGCTTCGGAGCTTGCTACTCTTTCGGAACGACAAATTTGAATTTTTTATACCGGGCGCTAAGTTATCGAACCTAGCTCTGTGGGCTGATCTGTCAGTCAAATTTCTTGTCTTTGTCACTTGCCGTAATATTTTCATTCCCTTGATTCTGGCAAATGTAAATTAAATAAAAAGTTAGAAATTAAATTTCGAATGTAAACCAATAAATAATCGCATATCAGAATATGGAAGGGGCATGTAATAATACACAGAAGAATGGAACAATTATTATTAAAATGTAAGTAGATAACTAACTAGTATTTACTTTGATTTCTCATGTTCGAGAATGTTACAAATCGGAATTCCCGCGTTTTTTTTGTCAAAACTGACCTAACCTCAACATCACAAAATTCAAATTACACAAGATTTCACCACCACCAAACAAACTATTGCGTATCAAAAGTTTATTAGTGTTTAAAGTGAATATTTAGTGGAACAAACTTGTCTATTTCTTTTAAATGGGGCCTCCAAAGCGTCCCAATTACAAGCCTGAAAAGGCATCGAAAAAACGCAAAAAGGATGAAGAAGAAACATGGATTCCTGAAGAAGAGGACACCACAGGTAATATTCCAATCACAAATTCCTAAATATCTACTAGTATTTACAACAATTATTTAGAAAATGAAGGGGCAGCTGTGCCAGAAGCAGCCGCCCGAAATGCCGAGAAAAACGACGAAAAAATTCAAGAAGATGAATTTGGGGCCAAAGATTATAGAAGCCAAATGATATTGAAACCCGATAATGTATCAAGACCTTTATGGGTAGCTCCGAATGGACACATATTCTTAGAGTCATTTTCTCCAGTTTATAAACATGCACATGATTTTCTTATAGCCATCTCTGAACCTGTATGCAGACCAGAACATATTCATGAATATAAACTAACAGCTTATTCGTTGTATGCTGCAGTAAGTGTTGGTTTGCAAACCAATGATATTGTTGAATATTTAAAAAGACTAAGCAAAACAACTGTACCAGAAGGTATAATAGAATTTATAAAACTGTGTACTTTATCTTATGGCAAGGTTAAACTTGTATTGAAACACAATAAGTATTTTGTGGAAAGTCCTTTTCCTGAAATCTTACAAAAATTACTCAAAGATCCTGTTATACAAGAATGTAGATTAAGGAGGACTGTGGAGGCTGAAGGTGAAGATGGATTTATTACACAGGTACAGGATAAGAAGAGTGCACTGACTTTTGGTGCAAAACCTAGTACCTCTACAGAAACTAATAGTGAAGGTAAGAGCAAAGTAATAATAATTGCTGTGGATTTATTTTTAAATCTGTTAATTTTAGGTACAGCAATTCCAGATGACATAACCAACTTTTACGAGAAAATGGATAATGAAGAAGATGAAGAAGAATCAAACCTGGAGACTGTATCTTTTGAAGTTAACCAAGAAAAAATTGAAGTCATACAAAAGAGGTGTATCGAGCTTGAATATCCTTTGCTGGCTGAATATGATTTCAGAAATGATACAGTGAATGCTGACATCAATATCGATCTGAGACCTTCTGCAGTTTTGAGGCCTTACCAAGAGAAGAGTTTAAGGAAAATGTTTGGCAATGGAAGAGCGAGATCTGGCGTTATAGTGTTGCCTTGTGGAGCAGGAAAATCTTTGGTAATGAATATACTTATGATACATTTCAATTGATAAAATTATTAAAAAAACTTTTGGATTACGGTATAAAAACGTTGATTAATACTTTTATCAAGTTGAAGCAGTGAAGTTTAGTGACCTAAACTACTTGTCTGTACTATATATTTTAAAGTATAAATTGTAAAAGAGCTAAATAAACTAATTATTATTATTATTATTATTATTAATACAGGTTGGAGTTACAGCATGTTGTACAGTGAGAAAAAGAGCTTTGGTATTGTGTAATTCTGGCGTATCTGTAGAGCAATGGAAGCAACAATTCAAAATGTGGTCTACAGCCGATGACAGTATGATTTGCAGGTTCACCTCTGAAGCCAAAGACAAACCAATGGTATATTTTCCTAATTAAACATCCAGCAAATTATTGATTAGTTTTTTCATTGTAGGGCTGTAGTGTATTAGTAACAACATACTCAATGATAACCCATACACAAAAACGTTCCTGGGAAGCGGAACAGACCATGAAATGGCTTCAAGAACAAGAATGGGGTATTATGGTTTTGGATGAGGTACACACAATTCCAGCCAAAATGTTTCGAAGGGTATTAACACTTGTACAGTCTCATTGCAAACTTGGACTGACAGCCACGCTGCTGAGAGAAGATGATAAAATTGCTGATTTGAATTTTTTAATTGGCCCAAAGTTGTATGAAGCTAATTGGTTGGAGTTGCAAAAGAAAGGATTTATTGCCAGGTAATCATAGTATTTTGATTATAAATCTTCTGTTTTTTACATTTTCATATCTGATTCTAGAGTCCAATGTGCTGAAGTTTGGTGTCCAATGACTCCAGAATTCTACCGTGAATACTTAGTGTGCAGAACAAGCAAAAGATTATTGCTCTATGTAATGAATCCAAATAAATACAGATTAACGCAGTATCTGATAAGATATCACGAACGGCGTGGAGATAAAACCATCGTATTTTCAGACAATGTTTTTGCATTGAAGCATTACGCTATAAAAATGAATAAACCTTATATTTATGGCCCAACAACTCAAAGCGAAAGAATCCAAATTCTACAAAATTTCAAATTCAATCCAAAAGTCAATACGATTTTCGTTTCTAAAGTGGCAGACACTTCGTTTGATTTACCTGAGGCCAATGTCTTGATTCAAATTTCTTCGCACGGAGGTTCTAGAAGGCAAGAAGCCCAAAGATTGGGGCGTATTTTGAGAGCCAAAAAAGGAGCAATAGCTGAAGAATATAACGCCTTTTTCTACACCCTGGTATCACAAGACACAATGGAAATGGCTTATTCTAGAAAACGTCAACGGTTTTTGGTGAATCAAGGTTACAGCTATAAAGTGATTACAAAATTGTCTGGGATGGATAGTGAGACAGATTTACATTACAAAACTAGGGAGGAACAAGGACAATTGTTGCAACAGGTAACTTATCCACAAAACGCATTGAAAATTTATTGTAAGAGTTAATTTTTTTTTTTAGGTATTGGCTGCTAGTGATATTGATTGTGAAGACGAGAGAGTGCCTGGTGAAGGAGGTCCAAGAGGAGGCCCAGGAGGCAATCGCAGAGTCGGGCATATGGGCTCAATGTCAGGAGCTGATGATGCTGTATACTATGAGTTTAAAAAATCTAATGTCAACAAGCATCCCTTATTTAAGAAGTTTAGATATTAATTTTTTTTATTATTGTGAATAAATGTTTCAGCATTTAGAGGGTGTATTTTTTTTTTCTCAAGATCAATATTTATTAGTGGTTTTCTTGTCGAAAAAAGACTTATTTTTTCCAGACCTACTGAAGGCTTGACTGATGAGTATGGACTATTAGAACTGCAAGGAGATTTTGCCTCTCAAACTGATACCGGATTTGAAGGGAAATTCATTGGAGACATGCACTACACCAAAACCGGCCAGCCTTTATTGATTATCGGTCATCATTTGCTTTACGGCAAAGAAATTAAAATGGAAAAACCTTTTGCCTTGTTGGACAAAGTGAAAAACGCCGAAGGCCAGACGGAGTTTCTTATTAAGTGTGTTATCAAAAAGAAGGTCGTTTTTAAGACTCGGCCTAAGCCTATTGTTGGACTTTGTGAGAAAAAATAAATAATTTTCAAGAAAATGAGCTCAAGTTGCTGCATCCACATGTTGTTTAAGTGTTGTTTTAGCAGAACTGAGGTGAAATACTTTGTGAAAAAAAACTACTGATCCTATTTTGCTATACTATACTTTCAGTTTCTGTTATTTTTTTAAGACAAATCATGTGTCACACAATCATGTCTTTGTCGCTCCTTTTATTCCATTTACGAACCTATCAGGCTTTGTCTGAAGGCCGAGGAATAGCGCTACTTTGTATTATAAAGACAATATTATAAAATCCATTTTGACTAGAGTGGTGATTATTAGATTTCTGTAATACCATTTCTACTGTATAGCGTAAAGATAGTGTCTAATCTATTCGTCAGCTAAAAGCTCAATAAAAATATAGCAAACTGCTGTGTAAGACTCTGTGCAATTGTTGGCGCCATCTAATCCCGTGCGGCTCAAGCTTCAGCGAAATAAATATATTTATAACAGATTGCGATTAGATTTCTCCTTCAAGCCTATTAGCTGTTGATTCCTAAGGCAAGTGGGCGCTTGGAATACTAATTACAAAGATATGATACTTAAATATACTTTGTGTTCTACAGATACTTTGATTTTGGAATGGTTGATGTTGAAAAACTTATGAAATTGCAATTTTGTCAAAGTGAAATTTGTAAAATGCAATTGAGTGGTTCTTTCTCTAAATTTTCCTTTGATTGTTTTAATAAAAAGTGTCACAAATTTATATAAATTATATAAATTCAAGTTATTTTTCATCCAATAAGTAATAGCCTTTTCTACAGGCTTCAAGAATCAAAAACTTTATTCCCTCTTTCACTTCTCCCTTATTATTACCAACCAAGCGCAGCTGTTTTAACTCTAAACTTTAAAGTAATCTGAAAGTTATCAGAGGGTTATCCAATTATGATTAAAAGGCTAGTAAGCACGAGTTAATTCGCCGGAGCGGGGCGCGTATATACTCTGGGCTTTCACTTAATATTAGCTAAATAAATCAAGTTAGACTGCTAATCTCGGGGACTAAAGCAGATTTAGCGGAGGGTGTCAGTGTACAAAACGGGATGTGTTGTTTTCAATTTTCAATTCGGACAGGAAAATTTTTAGAGAAATTGATACACACACATATTTTCTTCCATACTTATAGGAATTTATTATAAAAATTAATTTGCAATATGAATAGATATAATACATATATTTAAATTGCACTTTGATTAGAATCCTTATATTGAACCTTATAACAAACTGTGTTAATCAATGTAGCGACATTGCAAGAATTATAATATACTGGTATGAGAAAATAGATAATTTTCCAGATTTTGATATTGAGGAATTAAATATAATGGCTTATGATCTTAATAGATAAATATTTATTATTTAAGGCAAAAGAAACCAAAAGGGCTTCTACAAGCTTATATCCATAGATGGATTGACATTAATATGGGATATAAATTGTTAATTTAGGGATAAAAATGCTTAAATTTGAAGCAAGAAGAAGTAAATGCAAGAAATACTCAGAAGCAAAATCTGCAGAAATATCATGAACGGGTAAGATGAATAGAAATGAGTCTTTCACGAAAAGTCAAATAAAGGAATCGACAACTGGCTTGCCTTATTGAGATATAGGTAGGTACCTAGCTGATCAAGAAGGCTTTGAGAGCTGGAACTGTTCAGATTTCAACGGGTTCCCCTTTACTGTCGTCACAAAGATAGGAAATTGGCGAATTTGTACTAAATTAAAGAATTATTCAACCGAGCTATTATTCTCAGCATTTGATTCAAATCAAGAGCCAGGAATAATCAAAAACTGAACATTATTAAAAGATTAGCTATTCAAATAAATTCCGATGTCAGATTGTAGCTTCCTATTGATAGAAGAGTTGAGCAAAGGGAAGAAAATAGCGAAATTATAGTAGCGACATCCTAAGAGTTGCTTCATTGAAGAATTAATTAATCGAGTAACAACGATTTATACCTATGTTCTCGTATTTCGAAAAAGTTCACCAGTTTTTAGAAGTGAACCAATCAAAAGAAATAAAATTCAGTGTATATATTAATCTGTATAAGCATGGCAATGGTAGATGTATATTTTATAATTGCTGCGAAAACGTTTCTGTCAAAAATTATAAAACAACAATACTTACTCTCAAATAACAAATTTTATGAACATTTCGAAAAACTTACAGCATCATTCAAATTGCGCTTTAAAATAACAAGAATAACATTGTTAGAAAGATTTTTTCAGGTAATGACCAACGTGAATACAGGGACACAGCGGTCCCTGTTTGGGAATCGACCCACTGAGCAGTGGGTTCAGACTTCCTGTGCCAATCCTTGACGCGTTTCGTCCTTGTTAGGACTCATCAGAAGGACATAGGCTGAAGCTCCCTGTCCAAGCAAAAGGAGGAGTAGTTGTTTCTGACTGGTCAACAAAGTTCAAGAATAACATTGTTGTGTCCTTTTTCAATCCATGAAAATGTTCCTTGAGTGAAAAGGAAGGAGCATTTTGCCGTATGGTATGATAACAAAATAGTTTCATTAGCTTATAGTTCAGTAAGTTTTCCAGGAAAAAAATGTAACGTTTTTTTCTCACCGGTTCTGTATGTTTTTTCGGATGCTGAATCTGAATCTGAGGTTTGCCAACACGCCAGGCGTCGGCTTCACAACAAAATTGCGAAAAACCCTAAATTTTCGGCACTTTTTTCAGGTTTTTAACTATAACTCGAAAACTGAGCGTTTTTTAATTATAACTTTGATATACCAAATTAAAGTAGACAAACTCTAAAGTCTCGACAATCCATAACGTCGTTAGATCGTGTTGAAAAAATGGCATTTCTTGACTTTTCTCTAAAAAAGTTGGAAAACGTTATTCTAACTAAGGTTTTAATAAAAGGAAACATATTATTTGGAAAAAAATAGTATTTACCCAAAAAAAAAAATGCAAATAAATTAGATAATTTTCATATTCATTCGTCGTCCTCATCTGCAGAATTATCACCTGAAACAAGGAGAATGGAGACTATAATAGAATCCATGTCGTTTATGTTCATTATGGTCAAAATTTGTCAATACCTGCATGGAGGCTCAGGATTCCGTTTAGATGGACCAGGCTGTATATGCTGAGCAACATAAGATTTTCTTTTTACTCCTGTCCGGGCAGTGGACTACTCCAATTTTTGGAGAATGGGCGCTTGGGCGCTGGTCTTCCTACTGGAAGAAAATATCATTACGACATTTTGATTTGTGAAGCTATAGTTTCTAATTTACAGTGATAAATACTAGATAACAATTATAATTTCTCTCTAAATTACCTTCGATCTTCTCAGGCAAAACGTCTTGATCGTCATCATCACTGATTATTTCTATATTGGAGCAGCTTTCTTCACAATTCAAACAAAGTCTGGAGCAGTGTAACCCAATTCTTCTGCATCCGCTACTGCCCTTAAAGCCTTTCTAGCACTTACAGGCAATGAGTTTCAGAAGCTTCTCTGGGGCTGGGGACTCAAGGGTCGTGATGGGAATCAAGTTGCCTTCCATAATTTTCCATCCCCACTACTCAGGTGGTTGAATATTTCCCAGCCACTGCTGTACTTGGTAGAATAGAATACCCTGATCTGTGTTGCTTTAGTAGGAGGAATAGATGCTTCATTTTCGCTAACCTTCAATGCTGATGTCACATACTGTTTGTACCGCAGCTTATTTATTGAAGTGGTGTGATAGTCTCCACCATACAAGGCCACTAGAAATTTTTCTCCTGCCTCCGAAATTTCTTCTGATGCAAGGGGGTTTCTGAAACGTCGGATGTAGACTGAGAGGTCAAGTTACCTTGTAAGGGTTTTCATAAACTTGGCTTTCCCTTGTTTAAAAAGAGCACATGTGGAATCACAACCACTGACAGCATGTATGAATAGTATGTGTTCTACCAGGCATTTCTCGATGACGCTTGGAGGATGGTGAACAGATGGAAGATTTTTGCTTTTGCCTGGTTTCAAAAAATATACATTAGACGTCATAATGGTTCCAATCCTAATGACCAGGAGGTCTATATCCTCTCCAACAACTACAACTACAACAGTTTCGTTCTCTGCAGCAAGGGATTGGGCTGTTTGCACAATCAGAGTGTCTGCATCTTCACTTGCTTGCTTGGTGTCAATTTGGGCTGCACTAAATTTCTTCGTATAAGACAGAAATTTCTCCTGGGGGACTCTGGGCACAGATTACTCGGGCACCATTTTGTCATTGACTTGGATGTCAACGTCAACCAGAGATAAATACTTATATAACCTGTCGAGAATGGAATCTCAATGTAAATTTTTTTGTCAACAAAATTGAGCCAAGCCAGCGCCATCTACCATATCGGAAAATCACTATTTACTGGTTTTGTATCGATGCTACAGACATCTACTTTACATAGGACTTTTTATGATAGATGGCGACCTGTTCGCATTACTGTCGGTCTGTTCAAATTCGTTTATTCTAGACTTTGGGGCATTAATGTTTGCTTAAATTAATTGATAATTTGTTAATTAGATCAAAAGACAGTTTCTTTATCGATGGTTTTTCTTTAATTGAACCTGTCATTTATCTAAT